TCATTTACATAACAAATTAATAAAATATATTAATGAATAGTGAAAAAAAATTTAAATATAATAAATATAAAACCATGCTTAACTGATTAATTAGATATGTAAATTAATTGAATTTGTAATAAATTGATTGGTCAAATGATTTATGATTTATTATAAAAGATATGACATATGAATGAAAGACGTTACATATTATAGAGACACCTTGTAAAAAGTATGCGAGATAACGTCCACATTTAATTCTTTACTAATCTATATTATAGTGGGGTTTTTAGGTATTTGAGAGTGCTAAAACACAATATTTTTTTAATTTATTGTTATTTTTGTTAAATCACAATATACTTTAAAGAGAAAGTAAAGTGCCACATCTCCTTCCAGATGTGAAACTTTGAAGCAACATGCGAAAATTAACAACTTTTATCACAAACATTCTACCCTGTTACTGACAGCGTAAACTAATTTCTGCATACTTTCAAAAATAAATGAGATTCATTCTGGAGATGTGATTCTTTGAACTCAAATGAATTTTAAAGAAGTTATAACCCAGTAAGAAATTCTAAAGTAGCAATAACCCAGTAAAGAATTATAAATGAGTAATAACCCAGTAAGGAATTCTACAGTATTAAAACAAAGTAAAGAATTCTAAAGTAAAAAATAACCCAGTAAGGAATTCTAAAGAAGTAAAAACCCAGTAAAAAATTCTAAAGTAGTAATAACCCTGTAAAAAAATTTAAGTAGTATTAACCCTGTAAAAATTCTAAAGTAGTAATTACCAAGTTAGGAATTCTAAAGAAGTAATAACCCAGTAAGGAATTCTAAAGTAGTTATAAACCAGTAAGGAATTCTAAAGTACTAATAACCATGTAGGGAATTCTAAAGTACCAATAACGCAGTAAGGAATTCTAAAGAAGTAATAACCCAGTAAGGAATTCTAAAGAAGTTATAACCAAGTATGGATTTCTAAAGTAGTTATAGCCCAGTAAGGAATTCTAAAGTAGTAATAACCCAGTAAGGAATTCTAAAGTTCTAATAACGCAGTAAGAAATTCTAAAGTAGTAATAACCCGGTAAGGAATTCTAAAGTAGTAATGACCCAGTATGGCATTCTTAAGTAGTAATAGCCCAGTATGAAATTCTAAAGTAATAATAACCCAGTAAGGAATTCTTAAGTAGTAATAACCCAGTATGGAATTCTAAAGTAGTTATAACCCTGTAAAAATTCTAAAGTAGTAATAACCAAGTTTGGAATTCTAAAGAAATAATAACCCAGAAAGGAATTCTAAAGTAGTAATAACGCAGTAAGGAATTCTTAAGTAAAAATAACCCAGTATGGAATTCTAAAGTAGTTATAACCCTGTAAAAATTCTAAAGTAGTAATTACCAAGTTTGGAATTCTAAAGAAATAATAACCCAGAAAGGAATTCTAAAGTACTAATAACCCAGTAAGGAATTCTTAAGTAATAATAACCCAGTATGGAATTCTAAAGTAGTTATAACCCTGTAAAAATTCTAAAGTAGTAATTACCAAGTTTGGAATTCTAAAGAAATAATAACCCAGAAAGGAATTCTAAAGTACTAATAACCCAGTAAGGAATTCTTAAGTAATAATAACCCAGTATGGAATTCTAAAGTAGTTATAACCCTGTAAAAATTCTAAAGTAGTAATTACCAAGTTTGGAATTCTAAAGAAATAATAACCCAGAAAGGAATTCTAAAGTACTAATAACCCAGTAAGGAATTCTTAAGTAGTCATAACCCAGTATGGAATTCTAAAGTAGTTATAACCCTGTAAAAATTCTAAAGTAGTAATTACCAAGTTTGGAATTCTAAAGAAATAATAACCCAGAAAGGAATTCTAAAGTACTAATAACCCAGTAAGGAATTCTAAAGTACTAATAACGCAGTAAGGAATTCTAAAGAAGTAATAACCCAGTAGGGAATTCTAAAGAAGTTATAACCAAGTATGGATTTCTAAAGTAGTTATAGCCCAGTAAGGAATTCTTAAGTAGTAATAACCCAGTAAGGAATTCTAAAGTAGTAATGACCCAGTATGGAATTCTTAAGTAGTAATAGCCCAGTATGAAATTCTAAAGTAGTAATAACCCAGTAAGGAATTCTTAAGTAGTAATAACCCAGTATGGAATTCTAAAGTAGTTATAACCCTGTAAAAATTCTAAAGTAGTAATTACCAAGTTTGGAATTCTAAAGAAATAATAACCCAGAAAGGAATTCTAAAGTTCTAATAACGCAGCAAGGAATTCTTAAGTAATAATAACCCAGTAAGGAATTCTAAAGAAATATTAACCCAGTAAGGAATTCTAAAGTAATGATAACCCAGTAAGGAATTCTAAAGTAGTAATAGCCCAGTAAAAATTCTTAAGTGATAATAACCCAGTAAGGAATTCTAAAGAAATAATAACCCATTAAGGAATTCTAAAGTAATGATAACCCAGTAAGGAATTCTAAAGTAGTAATAGCCCAGTAAAAATTCTTAAGTGATAATAACCCAGTAAGGAATTCTTAAGTAATAATAACCCAGTAAGGAATTCTAAAGAAATAATAACCCAGTAAGGAATTCTAAAGTAATGATAACCCAGTAAGGAATTCTAAAGTAGTAATAACCCAGTAATGAATTCTAAAATAGTAAAATCACAGCAAGGAATTCTGAAGTACTCGTAATTCAGTAAGGAATTTTAAAGTACTTATAACACAGTTGAGAATTCAAAAGTATTCATAACCCAGCATGTGCTCTAAGGGAGACAAAAAGGAGATTTAACGATAAAAGTTATCTATTCATTTTAATTTCTTTGTTCTTTAATTTCTTTGTTCTTTTTGATCTTTTTAAATCAATTTTGTGTAATGTATTGAGTCAATAATAATCGAACAAGAAGCCTGCCATAAATGTCAACAAGATGTGTTTATTCAGAATACAATTACAAGGTTTATGTAAATATTTGCTCTTACTACCAATAAAACTAATACTCTAATTTCAAATAATTTCAAATAAAAATTCAATGCACTTTAAACGTATATAGCTATTTATGTACATATGCATTTACTTGTACTTGTTAACAATTTTGTACCGCAAAATAGAGATTAATCAATAAGGTTATTATTTTCTTCCGCAACGCCTATCTGTATAAACAGTACACACTGGTTAGGTCATCTAAATCTTTACAAGGTCAAAAGCGTTTCATGTCGTTCGGTTTATAATTACAAATCCGCCTCTCCTTAATAAAAAAATGAAAAATGAAAGGAAAGATAACACGTTATACTACCTTTGTCGACTTAAGTTTTAGTTTCAATTTACTATACCTTTTTTGATAAGGAAGAGCATTTATTTCATTAAATTTTATATACCTGAAGGCTCAGTTTACAAAATTTCACAGATAAATGAAACATTTTTTTTCTTTTGGTTTTCAAATATGAAGTAAAATTGTGCTTTTGTGATTATTTTTAGTACTTGGTTTCAATTGTGTGTGCATGTATAGATGTGTTTCCTAAATTATCATTTTTGTTATTTTCAGGGCCAGCCTGACAAGTTTGAAGTAAAAATCCAACGCAGAACATTGTTATACATGTATTTTTCAAGTGTTTTATGGTATATGCTTGTTCGTCGCATATTTTCTGTGACAGAATGTCGTCGAAATCCCATTTCTACCTGTACCTGTATGAACTCAAGAAAAGCTGCTGTTATTAAAACATATACATGCATATTTAAAATAAAAAAAGTGAAAAAAAAAACATTTGTAGTACAAATAATGGTTTCGTTGATCATTTTATAAAGCAAGGGAGGCTACTTACCATTTGTAATAAAAACCCCAGAATATTTAAGCAGTATATCATAAGATCCAATTCCTTAAGATACATTTTTAGTGTATCGTACGGAATGTGCACTTAATTTGGCACAAGACCATTTATCAAAGCTACAGCACCATTCATCAGAAGAACATCGCCTCTTTAGGTGTGTACATAAGGCAGTTAAAGCGTTACATAACTTCATATCAAAATTACTAGCATTGTACTCACCTTGTTTTTGATCCAGGTAAATGTATACACTTGTCAAGTAAACTTTTTAAACAAAATTTCACAGTCATATTGATTGTACCAGTTTATTATCACTGACAGATATTTTTTTTATTTCTGCAACTGTATTTTCTTATTCATGCTGTGGAACATTGTCTTCTACAGTTTCACTTATTAGGTTGTTCACAGTTAGATTTTATGCAGTTGACAGCTGTAAAATTGCCCCCTTTGGTTAAGTTTTCCTGGTCGTTCGGGTACATTGATTCCACTTCATTCAACAAATGTTACAATTGGACACTGCATGTATTTAAGCCGTTTTTAGAAAGCTTAATAGATGATGCATCTTTCATCATCTGTATGTCTCAGGAACAAGCTCTATCAAACCGTGTTTGAAATTTTTATGTATTTCTGTTGTTTTCGTTTCTTTTGAAGGATCTCCCTTACTCTGATTTGTTTCTTAAGCAAAACCTTTTGTAAATATGACTACAAATCATATAAAATTCAGATACTACAGCCATTTTTTCTTATAAAAACAACAATATATTTATGATTTGCATTATCAGCATGCCACACAAATATAGTTGCTTGCTAAAAATGGTTGTTTGTGTCATGCATTGCTTAATTCAGAGCATTGAAAACAGTATATGACAGCACTGAGCTGAAATGTGTTGCATTTTAGAATTTACATCCATTTCTTTTATGACATCAATGCAATTATTACATTCTGTATAGAATGTACAGCATGTACTGACACATTCTACTGTATACGTTCTGCTCTTGTCCAAAAAAAAACCTAGGCTGTTTTATGTAATATATAGAATACTTCTAACAAACATTTTGATTTGCATTTTATATGCCCTTTGTTCTAGTCTAGAAACTAGAACGATTTATATCATTTCATTAAAAGCATTTTTGAAGCTCTTGTGTGTTCATACAACAATACAAATCTATAAAATTCTTAAGATATATTGTTTTGTTTTGTATTGTCAAGTATCTGTTTTTGTTTTACTGTCTACAAAGGTTTTGCAAGGCCAAAGACAAAAACGCATTCCAATAATATATCAAGGATCCAACGTTTTTCTATTGGCCATGTTATTAATTGCCTATCATGGTCATGCCATAGCGGTATTCTGTTTGATTACCTCTAAATCAAATCTTGCAAGTGTAGAGTATACAGCATTCCCTAGAGTTACAAACTTTCTTGCCAGACTTCTAGGTGACAGCTTGTTAGGTAACAAACAGCCATATATTGAATGATAGCTTATACACGCATGCAATGTGACAAACTATAAGAAGTTTCAAATAGAGATAGCAAATATTTGCAACATTCTTGATCCAACTATGTTGTCTTTCTTAGATTTAAAGACAATAAAAGCCTCATTATTTCCCAGTTCATCATGAATTAGCAGATTAATGTAAAATACTGCCAGTTTTATATAAACGGTCTCATTCACAAATGACATATGATATTAAAAATGGTCTTGACAAGTGTACACATTAAGCAATCAATAGGTATATTAAAAGTTTTCTATATGCGTTTCTTTAATTGGTATCCCTTCCTCGTTCAGTCGGTCGAGTTTAAGATGCAGATGCTGCATGCTGGTCTCTTTGTCCGCCATGTTGTATTCATGTACATTAGTTGTCCGCTTTGGGTTTGGACACTAGGTTATAAAGGATAAAAAACACAGTCTGTTAGAAAAAATACCGGCTGCAGGCAGAGTAACAAAACGGGCTTTCAGAGACATACACTTTACAGCAACAAGGTGTAAAGATAGCTTTCATATTGTTATTCTAAATTGAACGCCGCAACAAATAATTCCTTTTACTAAACAAAGTATGTAAACTAACAAATTAAATCAAAGGTTAATTTATTTAAATCATTGTTGATAAAACGATATACAAAAAAAATTAAAATACCAACATTTGAAAGTTTCGATCATATGATTTGCTATTAATAAATAACTAATAAGAAGAGGGAGGTAAATGGGATGTTCATGTATGCACATTAAGATATTGTATGTACGTCAGCTAATAAATATAATGAATTGAATGTATACTTTAATAAACACGAATCAGTGTGACATTTTTTAAGGTTTAATAGATATAGATTACAGAAAAACATTCTTAACTATTCAAAATTCTGCATGTGTAAATAAGCACAGAAATTGTTTTAAATAGAACAGTTCATAAAATCAACGTAGTTATTCTATAAGGCTTAAAACTTTCAGATGAGCAAACAAATGTTGAAATAATTAGACTTGATGGAGCTTCACTGAGGTCAAAAAGCGTAATTTAAAATATAGAATTTTTAATTCATGCATAGATCAATTGAGGTACTTAAAATGAACAAATATGTAAAATATAGTAAAGCATATATATTCGGAAGTAAACGTAAATTTAATAAACGATTTTTGTGTGACTCTTATAAGATATAAAGAACGAAATCAAAAAACGTTGTTGCGATGTTAATAGAAACTTGTAAATGACAGAATTATGGAAAAAATCAATTTAAAACGTTTAATGTATTATTATATTTGTTTTGCAAAAAAAAATGTGTGTTTGCAGAACTCACTTCTTACGATATGTTATTTACTTTCATAATAAAATTGTCAAATGTATCCAAATAAAGAATATGAAAGTGTACAATAATGTGTTGGTAATTATTTTTATTTCGATTTGTCTCCCTTTAAACAGTAAAACATTTGTAAACATAATTTGTTTTAGTATTTGCTGTATATAAATAAATTCTACCTGATTATGGGTTATACACGTGTATGATATTAGACATTTTGAATAGTTCCAATGCTTATAAACATCAAAGCATTATCAATAAAAACTGTTACGCAGATATCATCATATATTATAAACAACTAAAGTACAACTAAAGGCTATTTATGAGTGAATTCTTCACGTAAATTATATCTAATAAGATATGCATGCAATGAATTTAAAAAGAACTTATTACTTTTTATTAATTAAAATTAATAAAGTTTGTAAAAAAAAGTAACATAACGTATTGAATTGGTATTAATGTAAAAAATTAATTTCAAAACAAATATGAATAAAACTATTTTAAACATTCTTTAATTCATTAAGAGTAATTCATCAGTTATCAATTTGCTTATTTAAATATTTATATTACTGTTAAATTAATTTTCTCCTCACTGCTCTATAATATTTCAGACTGAAGTTAGAGTATACACATTTTCGCTAGTATATTGAAACCAGTTGTATTTTTTAATACTATAAAAATAATTATAAATCTTATTTGATCTACCATATGTGATATAACTTTTGTACGAACTAATACAAAAATATATCATTATTTTCTCGAAAAAAAAAACAAAACAAAACAACACAACACAATCACATAGATTTTACTTACACAATATTTTAATCGACTGTCTTCCTCCACATTTCCATTTACTGCCCACTTTTAACGCATCGTTTAGTTCATCAACTTCAGATCAAATGTATAAAGATAGCGTATTGTACTCACTAAACATGATAAGTCTTTAATTAAATTCCATCATATAAAATCAATAATTGCAATCATCTTTACAATTATAAAAAAAAATTGTAATTACTAAATGAGCATGGTATTAGATTGCATTACTTCTATATACAACGCCTAAATTATAAAACACTTCGTTTGACTAGGTGTCCAATTCTTTAATATGCTTTCTATTCTAGTTAAGAAAAGAACTAATCTTAATAATTTTAAATGTCTATGGAAATGCATTTAAAAGTATTCTATGATTATGCTTGTCCAAATGTAACACACATTCACATGTGTAATTTTATTATTTACAGGTATATCTGCTCTTCCTGTTCTGTAATGTTCCCCTATGACCTCAATGCAAACATCAACCATCATAGCAGAAGTTAACCGAAGCTACTTTATTATCGGTATATGCATTCTGCAAAATAAGTTTGAAAATGAAACATTTAAAAAAAATTAAAAGCTATGTAAACTATTTAAATAGACCGGTATTTTTTCTCACTTTTACCCAAGGCTTCCTTGCAGCAGCTAAATATAAGTACCCATACGGCAATTACATACGGCATTCATTGTTCACTTTTCATTTGGTCCTGATTGGAAGAGAGACAAGTTTTATAAAGATGTTTAGCGTGGTGAGGTTGATGATTATATAGGAGTGTTATAAAAAAAATCAACTACATATGTAAACCTAACATGGGCATACTACTTAGCAAAGTTCGTGTTTTCTACTAAACTGCTAAAACATATCTTCGCAAATGACATTTTCTGTTTGACACGAACACCTTGCATCAGAGAGCCATAAAAGGTTTGAAACCCACTGCCTTTTGCTAGCCCTTTAACACTTTATATTCAGTGCTTTCCTCATTTTATATTCCCGACTGGTATGGTTTTCATTTTCAGAAGAAAAGTGCATAGCTAGAATTACAGAAATAAGCCAAATACATTATTTATGTTAAAACTCACCTTAAGATAATGCTTGTAGTGAACAGTATAATAGAAATGTCCAGGAACAAAACATGACATTTGAATAGGGATATGTTTTATTTCTTACGTATATCTTTAATCTGCATTAAACGCATGTCATATTTTACTATATCATTAACTATTTCATGAATCTAAAAATGAAAAGCTAATCTTTAACAAAAGATGCACATTTCAGTCAAAATGAAATGAATATATGATTATAAAAATAATTAATATGATCGTAAGATAAAACTGAAACTCTTATCTGTCATATACCATCTAACATTCAGAATTTGATATAATGCAATTTATTTGACATAAAATCTCCTTTGCATCGCTGTGTGTATGCATTGATAAAATGTCTTAGTAAGATTAAGCAATGTACAGCAGGTGTTCATTATTATGATACACGTCAATACCTTAAGTCACGCTTTTTAAGTAAGTTGAATCATACAAAAACGTAGCAAAATGCTTATACAAGAACGTAAAAGACGCAATGAACTTTAACCCGATTGTGAAATACATTTTTCCAAATCATATTTATCATTTCTGGAACATACAAGTATTGGTGGCGAATGAGGTTGTGACGCCGATGAGGATCAAACCTCTTGTTTGGAAGGCTGACACCGTATACACCAGGAAACCGCTTTTTCTAATCCGTAGTAGCTGAGTAAAGGCCACAACAGACGGCAGGGTTTAGTTGTACAGCACTTATTAGAGATGAGATGTACAATTTTCAAAGCAATACAACACTTGCATTCAGACGGTAATTCTACACTCTAGGAATCATCTGAGGTTTCCCTAAAAAGGATCCCTTTACATTGATCCTTTACATAATTTACTCACTAAATACTTTTTTTCGCCATGAGTAATGATTAAAACACCTCCATTTAAAAATATATATACATATTTTTATGTGAAGCCTGACCGAGACTAAAACCTGGGACCCTCGGAATACCGTACTGCGGCTCTACTAACTAAGCTATCCGACCGCCTACAAACTACCTCCCCTCCCCTAATTAGAGAACAGTTCAATACCGTGACATAATCATTTTCGGAATAATTTGGGATTCGAACATAACACAACTTTGGGTCTCCTAAAGAGTTTTTCAACATCATTTTTACCCCCATCTTACTAAGTAATGTTTACCTTTTAGCCCTAATTGTTCTGGAATTTCATTCATTACACCCATTATCAGGAGATAATTTGGTAATATGTGACTTGTCATTGTGGGAGGTCTGTAAAAATCTGTACAACAAGATTTTCAAAATAGAACATCTAGACTTAAGGTTTCCGAATTCAAGAAATAGTAGCCTTCACACATTAAGATTTGCCTGTACATCTTAGTTTTAATTGGTGTTGTACTTAAAAACCCTACCGCCTGTTGAGGCCTTAAGAAAACAGGCTTTAGGGTATCACCCCAGGACGGAATAAGAACCAACCTGTTGTCTAGTCTATTGAAAATAATTCTTTAAAGTTTTTAAGTGTCCCATTAAAAAAAATCTGGAAACAAAGTGATCCCTCAGAAGCATTAATCACAACAAAATTACATAAAAATTGCATACTCGGTTTGTGCACGCCTCTAGCACCGGCTTGAGCGGTACTCAAAGCCATTCTCAGTTTGGTTGGTCATATTTTAAGTGTATCTATTGCATCTGTGTATATTTTTTCTGTGTTATCTTGTGGTTTGTGTGTTTTCTTCGGAACCTTTAATTACTTGGCGGAAGGATTTAATATGTACTAAGCGCCATGGTTTTTCAAATTAAACAATTTCAGGGGTGACCCAATAAATTGAAATTTTCTAGAGCATCTAGATGGCTAACATAATATATTTTTGGTCTCGTTTTACTTGTGCAATATTGATGTTTAAAGCTGAAGACAGTATGTTTCTTAACAGGGATTTCGAAAATTTGAATTTTAGACTAGGGAAATGAAAACGAGGCTCAATGTAGTACAATGGTGACTTGATATGGATTTTGGACTGGCAAAATGATAACATTCCTAAAATTGGCTCCACATTTTTAATAATAGGCGCATGATTTCTATCATATTTATTTCATAGCAGGAGTAAACCTATGACTGGCATAAATATGGTCATTTAAGATTTGGAATATCAAGTTACAAATTATACTTGATAACAGCCCTTAGGTACATGGCCCCAATTATTTCATTTTGTTATAATGAACAAAGGCGAAAAGAGATTTTCAGTGAAGTCTTTTATTTTCTAAAAACTATGTGAATATAAGCGACTACGTAGTTACAGCGGATATCTCAAGGCTACATTTCAAACATTTTAAACAAGACAAGACATAAGGGCACGGTATGGCGGTGAGTGTGTGGGGGCAGGGGGGGGGGGGTTGGGTTAAGCTGGGAAATGTGAGTCGTTCTAGACAATGCCGATTTTCGATCAAACGAGTATTGTTGAACATGAACAGTGTCGTCTGAATACAGTGGCTGGTATAAATGTACAAAAATCAAGCATGCATATATTGGAGAATAAAAAGAAAGAAAAAAATACATTTATACCCATACATATTATTTATAGCTTAAAGGGACATTTAAAAAAAGAAGAGGAAAAACGGCTTTCTGCAGAAACGAAACTGCCTGTAATTTAACCGCTTAATCGCGCTAGCTTTGCATACTTGCAATCAATCTGTAATTGAGACATTGTAAACATGACGTTGAATAACTGTGCTTTTCTTAAGAATAGACGCTATCTTAATCAAACATGTCAGTGTCTAACACAATCTGACATTTTCATATTCAAATATCATTCCATTTCTATTATTATCTTCAATTATAGTCCCTTATTATCTAGAGTCTTTATATAAATACAAGTATACCAATTTGTCTCCCTGCATTATGTATTTAATATGGCGAGCTTTTTATGCCAGCAAATAGGCAGTTAATTTTTATTATATTTCAAACAATTGAATAATTTACTCTCGTGTTTCAATTGAATGTTTTAATATTTACATTTGAGCCGCGTCATGACAAAACCAACATAATGGGTTTGCGACCAGCATGAATCCAGACCAGCCTGCGCATCCGCGCAGTCTGATCAGGATCCATGCCGTTCGCTTACAAACTCTATAACAAGTATAGAAACCGATAGCGAACAGCATGGATCCTGATCAGACTGCGCGGAAGCGCAGGCTGGTCTGGATCCATGCTGGTCGCAAACCCATTATGTTGGTTTTGTCATGACACGGCTCAATTATATTTCACATCTTATAGAATATAACCAATCAACTTTCAGTGTTTGAGCCACGTATGTTCAAATAGAAATCATCATATTTGGATCCAATCTTATCAATTTAGCATCGTTTTGATTTCCATAGTCCACATAATTCATAATCATATCAAATTGCATATCGTACACCATATATAGTCTCGTTTTCATTTTCAGAGTCCAAAATATCTATATCAAATGCATATTTACTCAATTTAGCCTCGGATTCGTTTTCAGATTCCAAAATATCCATATCAAATGCATATTTACTCCATTTAGCCTCAGATTCATTTTCAGATTCCAAAATATCCATATCAAATGCATATTTACTCCATTTAGCCTCGAATTCATTTTCAGATTCCAAAATATCCATATCAAATGCATATTGTACTCCATTTAGCCTTGGATTTATTTTCAGATTCCAAAATCATAGCAAATCCTTATTGTACATAAATTAACACGGGTCTGTCCAAATATCAAAAAAATGTTGGTGTGAATAAAAAGGTCATTATCAATTGTTGAGAACAATTTTGATTCTGTGGGACTCGTACACAACTGCAAAACCTATATAGGCTCGGCTAGCACCTCGTCAAATATTTACTTTAACAGTTGTGTACTAGTCCAACAGAATTTGGTATTGTACACAAAAATGTATAATAACCTCATAGTATTCACGATTTGTTTTGTGTTTTTATTATTTGAGTTGAATAACATTGATTTGTACGATGTCCTTGCTTGTTTCAAGTACCGGTAACCATATAGCCGAAGTTGTACGATAGAAGCATGCGCGGGCATCTATACGTAGAGGGTACAAGAACAGACTCACGAGATATTAGTATGGTTCTCGCGCGACAAATTAAAAGTTAAAGGCCACTAGAGTTTATTAAAATGAAAAGGTGGAAACAGAGACGCGTATACTCTGGCTAGTGGTCAAATTTTCACATATCCGACAGCATTTTAACGGGCCTTAACATGTATTGATTCAGCGCTGAGAGATTTGTTGAACATGATTTAAGTTGTAACTTCTGAAATCAGTAGACCATCTTTGTGTCTTATATTCTACGCGAGAAAACCTATCTTTGTTTTATATTTAAAATGTTTATTATGCAAATAGAAATGTTTATCCATGATCAACAATAAGGCACGAATGTTTAAACAATGTCAGATCCACTAGAAGTTTTCTAGGTTATCTCACATTTTTTTCTAATTTGGGAAGACCCGTAAAAAATGTCCGAAAAAAATGTCCATTTTGCAATTTATAGTAAGCGATGCGCACATTAACTCTATATTTTTATTTTTTTATGTTTCGGATAGTGGAATGATTTTGAAAGGCATCTCACCTAAGAAGTGCCATGAGAAGTCACTATTATGGCTATATGCTGTTGGTAGCTGAATATTTGAACTTTTATATTAAAATCCTCTATTTTTATTTAAGGACTGTATCAAATGCAGGGTGTCGGTTGCATTTGGTAGATACATGAATATGATATTATGAGGTCATATACGTTGTTGAGTACAATACTGAATTGGTCGGATAACACAGGTGTTAAAAAAGGTTTTGAAGCCAATAGAATAAGTAATGACATCTTCATTTCACACCAAATTTTAAATTTTTGACATTTTTACTGAACTTGTAACTACTAGTACTATAAGGATTTAATATCAATATATTGGACTTTAAAATTAAAAAAAAAATAAACAGACTAGTCGGAATACGGCAGTAACTTGATATAGAATTTTTGGTCTCGGAAAATAAAAACGAGGCCAGATGCAGTACAATAGTGATATGACATGATTTTTTTTGTACTGGAAAAAAACGAGGCTAAACTAAATTAATAACATTCGGTCCAATAACTATTTGATTTTGAGATGATTTGTAAATTATATGATGTTATTAAGATTGTCGAGTACAATACTGAATTTCATTTGACAAGAACACAGTTGTCAAGCCTTTAATGGACAGGGGGCTAGCCGAGTCTAACATATTATGTTCATCAGCTATATACGGGTTCATTAAGTCAGTATTATATTAAACAATGTAAGGATCTCTTTATTTCACAACATCTTTTTACAAAACTTTGTTGTTTTAATACGGATTTTATATAGATTTTTAACACTGAAAATGGAAACGAAGATAATTAGAAAACAATATAGATTTGAGCCGCGTCACGACAAAACCAACATAATGGGTTTGCGATCAGAATGGATCCAGACCAGCCTGCGCGTACGCGCAGTCTGATCTGGATCCATGCTGTTCGCTTACCAACCCTATTACAAGTAGAGAAGCTGATAGCGAACAGCATGGATCCTGACTGGTCTGGATCCATGCTGGTCGCAAAACCATTATGTTGGTTTTGTCATGGCGCGGCTCATTTGATCTTCGAGAAATGAAAACAGACTAAAAGGAGTACACAAGTGATTTAATATGGAGTTCTTGACTTGATAACATTAGATCTAATAATAAGAGGATATTTTTTGTTTGGGTGAATTAAATAATGACCTATATTTGGACGGAGTGAAAATATGTGGCATTTTATCATTTTTTGTGAAAATATATTCCATATTTCACTCAAACCAAAAAATATCCTCTTAATATTTGGAGATAAAATGGAAGTTTATTTGTTATATTTAATAAGGTGTGAAATAAATGTTTATATACATTTAACACTGTCTAGCCTCGTTTTGTTTTAATTTCCGATTCCAAAAAAATAAACCCAAAAATAAAAAAAAAATCATTAATTTGGTATATCAAATTTATATTGTACACTAAATAGCAAAGTTCTGTCAAAATGCTAAAAAAAATGATGGTGTGAAATTAAGTAGTCATTGTATATAATACTGATTCTATTATACAGTATTGTACTCAACAATGTATTATTACCTCATAATATTCGAGTTTAAGATACTAGAATTTTGTATTTTTCATAAAGATAAGTATATCTAGCGCACATAGAGATATTATACCTTGAACTATAGCTAAGAAAAAGTGAAAGAAAGAAAATAATAGTGATAAAAAGCAAGCAATAAAGTATTCAGTACCTTCCATAGTTCATAGCTTGCCTCTTGGTACACGTACTTATTAGTGGTGTTATCATTTCTAATATTAAGTTTTAATAAAACTGTCAAAACACACATTTCTGTATGAGAATCATAAACATGTAAAATATTCCATAATCCGACGCTCGGGGAAAAAGGTTCTTTCTATTCTGGCTATGCCAACTATACAATATAAAAGCTATAAATCACTTAAATTCATTTTAGTCCATACTAATATCATATTTGTTCTTTATTTTAATTCCGCTTAAAGACGAACATACTAATAAATATGTCCCGAATTCTCAACGGGGCTACCAAAGGTATAAAATAAATATTTTTTTCCTTACTTTAAGTCACTGTACAGTTTGTCGTAAAAAAGAAGCATTTACAATATTAGATGCCCGGGCGAGTGAAACATGATATTTTAAGCGTACGAAGTTCAAACAGAGACATACGGGTGATCAACGCTAAAGTACATAAATACATGAAATTGCTAGCTAGTTTTGTGTACTTTTTCAAAGTCTGAAGTCTCAATAATTCTGCTTTAATTTAAACTCTTTTTATAGTTTTATGACTAATTCACTGCTTAATTGATACAGACAATTGTTTTTAGCTCACCTGTCACAAAGTGACAGGGTGAGCTTTTGTGATCGCCTTTCGTCCGGCGTCCGTCCGTTCGTCCGTCCGTCCGTCCGTAAACTTTTACTTTAAATGACATCTCCTCATAAACCACTGAGCCAATTTCATCCAAACTTCACAGGAATGTTCCTTTGGTGGTCACATTTAAAAATTGTTTAAAGAATTTAATTCCATGCAGAACTCTGGTTGCCATGGCAACGGAAAGAAAAAACTTTAAATTTCTTCTTTTAAAAAACCTAGAGAGCAAGAGCTTAGATATTTGGCATGAAACATCTTCTAGTAAGTGTCTACCAAGTTTGTTCAAATAAAAGCCCTTGGGTCAAAATTGGCCCCGCCCAAGGGGGTCATTGATTTTCCCTATATACATATTGTAAAAACTTAAACAATCTTCTTTTAAAGAACCCATGGAGCTAGAGCTAAGATATTTAGCATGAAACATCATCTAGTAAGTGTCTACCAAGTTTGTTCAAATAAAAGCCCTGGGGTCAAAATTGGCCCCGCCCCGGGGGTCATTGATTTTCCCTATATGCATATAGTAAAAACTTAAACAATCTTCTTTTAAAGAACCCATAGAGCTAGAGCTAAGATATTTAGCATGAAACATCTGTTAGTAAGTGTCTACCAAGTTTGTTCAAATAAAAGCCCTGGGGTCAAAATTGGCCCTGCCCCAGGGGGTCATTGATTTTCCCTATATGCATATAGTAAAAACTTAAAAAATCTTCTTTTAAAGAACCCAAAGAGCTAGAGCTAAGATATTTAGCATGAAACATGTTCTAATGGGTGTCTACAAAGTTTGTTCAAATAAAAGCCCTGGGGGTCAAAATTGGCCCCGCCCCGGGGGTCATTGATTTTCCCTATATGCATATAGTAAAAACTTAAAAAATCTTCTTTTAAAGAACCTATAGAGCTAGAGCTAAGATATTTAGCATGAAACATCTTCTAATAAGTGTCTACCAAGTTTGTTCAAATAAAAGCCCTGGGGTCAAAATTGGCCCTGCCCCAGGGGGTCATTGATTTTCCCTATATGCATATAGTAAAAACTTAAAAATTCTTCTTTTAAAGAACCCATAGAGCTAGAGCTAAGATATTTAGCATGAAACATCTTCTAATAAGTGTCTACCAAGTTTGTTCAAATAAAAGCCCTTGGGTCAAAATTGGCCCCTCCCCAGGGGGTCATTGATTTTCCCTATATGCATATAGTAAAAACTTTAAAAAATCTTCTTTTAAAGAACCCATAGAGCTAGAGCTAAGATATTTAGCGTGACACATGTGCTAATGGGTGATTACAAAGTTTGTTCAAATAAAAGCCCTCGGGTCAAAATTGGCCCCGCCCTGGGGGTCATTGATTTTCCTTATATGTGTATAGCAAAAACTTAAAAATCTTCTTTGAAAAAACCCAAATAGCTAGAGTTTAGATATTTTAAGCATGAAACATCTTCTAGTAAGTGTCTACAAAGTTTGTTCAAATAACAGCCCTGGGGCTAAAACTGGCCCCGCCCCAGAGGTGTCATTGTTTTTAACTATATGTGTATAGTAAAAACTTAAAAAATCTTCTTTTAAAAAACCTAATGAGCTAGAGGTTAGATTGCAGGAAACATCTTTTTGTGGGTGTCTACCAAGTTTGTTCAAATAAAAGCCCTTGGGTTAAAATTGGCCCTGCCAAAGGGGGGGGGGGTCATTGTTTTTCATTATATGTGTGTAGTAAAAACTTAACATCATGAAACATCTTCTAATGAGTGTCTTCCAAGTTTGTTCAAATAAAAGCCATGGGGTTTAAACTAGCACCGTTCCGGGGGCCTAAATACAGGTGAGCGACCTCAGGGCCATCATGGCCCTCTTGTTTATTATTATCTTGTCCCTATAAAGATAATTTTAAACTTCTATTTAGCTCAATTAAATTTTCTGTCATTTCTTAATATACAAGTAGATACATTTAGAAGATTGCCTACACAGTGCTCTTCATCAAGGTGTTAATTATAACTAAAAAAATTTTTTTGCCTGAAAATATATTGTTGATACTATGGTACTAAGAAAGAGGGTCCCACAGGCTACTGGTTAAAGTTTATAACTTCCTATCAATTGACTCTCGCCGTTGTGAGAAAAGCGAAACGTCGTTGGTTCTACCCCGAGATGTCCATAGATATTGCATAGATATTAATACAATTTTTATGTTTTTTAGCATAAATCACATTATTTATTTTGCATTTTTATAATTAATCAAGACTCTAAAATGTTGTTAAATGAAACCAAAATTCAGGGACGGAGTAGCAACTTGGCTTAAGAAAGTATGCAGGCGTGTACCAGAAAACGCCAAATTATCCCGGCTCGCGAAGTATTCAGTCTTCTCGTCAGAACTTTATCCCTAATTTTCAACCTTTCTGGTTTTCTTTTGTAATTTGAAGCTTCAATTGTTACTATTTTCGTCATGTTTTCTCAAGTGTATCAGTTTCTTTATCTCATTTACACCGGAAGCATTGTTATACAGATTGAGTCCTTTTTGTCAATCTGCTCACCGTGAATTAATTCTTTCTTCGTTTATGAATAGATCTATCAAACGAATTATGTGTACAGAAATTACATGTGTCTATACGAAACAAATATTTTCGAACCATATTTAAACGATTTAAATGACAACTTACTTGTTTAACAGTATGGAATTCAATAAAACCGACGCTGTGTATCTTCGTAAAAAAAACACAAAAACAAAAAAAAAACCCCATCTTTTTATGTCTTCCAGTTTCAAATTTATATTGTTCCCCACACACCCACACTCAAATGGGTATAACGTAATTCGGATTTTAGTATCCAGGGTATTTAAGAAACAGTGAATGTTTATGTGAATATTCAACGTCTGCATTTAATTTCTAAATCAGTAACTATGATTTAAAATTTGAAATAATATATATTTTTTATTTTTGAAATATAAGATATGAAGAATTAGTAGAGCAATAATACAGCAGTCTTAAGTATAAAAGAACTTAAACAAGTAAATACAAGGCTGTAGCAAGCAAAGCTACATTGTATTTAAGTTTACTTGTAGATATGATTTGTGTGTAAGAGTTTGTACTTGGATGCAACACGTATAATACAATATTTAAGCCTTCCTTCGGGTATTGTTAAGTTTATGCGCTAGTAAGCCATCGAAATATAATATATAAATACTACAGAAGGATGCCCAGAAAATTATGCAATGCGTTTATTAATACTTATTGTCACCAAGGGTCAAACGTGGGTTCATTAATTAACTATCAATCTAAAGTCAATAAGAGGTCTATGGTTCGAGGTTATACATGTGCTAGAGTTCGGGAGAGTCAGTCATTGTTAGAAATTTTTTATTTTCCCCAGCAGTAGGCATGTCTCCGCGCGGTGCTAGGCTCGAGGATGATGCTGATATCACGTGCAATAGTCAGTGGCTTTGTCACATGTTTTCTTTTATCACACACGCTACAGAACACATGCACCCATTCACCTTATCGACATTGATTTACCAATGTACCAATACAGAATGAAAATAATAAAAAATATTTGCTAACCTTTGCATAACTATACAATTGATATATTTACATGTAGCTTGAAGTATAGCCTGTCTGTCATTTTTAATTGTTTAATACTTGTTATGTCGTCATTATGATAAACTAATATTGTTTCAATGTAATAATGACAGATTGGAAAATCTGATTAGCCCTGTATTCCATTACGTAAGGCAATTCAGTTAATTCAAATGTTCGTCAAAACAAATTTGGCAAATTATACAGATTGACTTCTTGATTGCATGTTTAACAATAACTTTATCTCACATAATATATAACATATATAAACACAGATAAACAGGACTGCATTGCCGAGACTAATGACAAAGGTAAATAATATGCTTTGTAATTCGTGTTCATTTAAGTTTATTGAAAGAGTGCCATTTCAACACAGTGACAGATGTCTTGTGCTTGCATGTTTACAAACCAAAGAATTCACATTGCACATGCAAATGAATCACAAAACACTTTACTTAGAGTATCTGGAGTAATCACACATTTCACTTTAATAAAAGTATCTGCAGTGATGACCTCGTTTATCTAAATAAGATTGTCTAGAGAAATCACTCTTTTCACATTAATTACAGTATCTGCTGTGATTACCCTGTATATCTAAATTAATGCCCCGGTCACATATTCACGGATAATGTCACGGAAGAGCTACGGTCTAATCGTTCACGGATTACTACGGAAATGTGAAATTCCGTAGTCCGCTACGGTTCCAGTACGGACACACAACAGTATGAGTACGGAGTCCGGCGGATTTACCACCAAAAGTCCCCGGAGAGACACGGATTGTTACGGACCGACACGGTTTGATACGGAGCGACACGAATCAGGACGGACGCTCTACGGACACACTACGGTCTGCTACGGTATAAGCACGGGTTAGTAAGAATAAGTACGGTCTGCTACGGTATAAGCACGGGTTAGTACGAATAAGTACGGTCTGATACGGAGAAGAACGAATTGATACGGAGAAGAACGAATTGCCACGGATCTATACGGATCTATACGGACCTAATACATCCGTCCACAACCTCTTGCATGCTCATTTTCAAATTGCCTCACAAGAAAAGAACACCTAGAAAAAAATTGCAGAGTTCAATGATTTTGGCGGAGAGGATTCGGCCTAATCGCGTCCAAACCCCGAGACACATCAGGTCCGATTAAAGTGAATTTTTTGAAGGACGCTGGATCCTCAACAAGAGCCTCATACTTAACGTGAAGCCCTCTCTAGTCCACCATCTCGTCTGTCTTCTCTTACCTGATTAGATATGGACTAGTAATCATTAAGGAAAAATGTTCATCAATACTGCTTCAATTGCTGTTCATTTTACAACGTGAATGTTTATGTTTTAAAAATATGTAAACATCTTGTTAATTAATCTTATAAGTACTCAAGGGCCAGCGTCCGGGGCTTATGAGACACTTAAAATATGTAACATTAAATATCATTTTATTACTTATGAATTGTTGTACGATATTTATACATTTTAACCTCTATGCATGTCATCAAGCAGCTCGACCACTGCCTCCGCATTTTGAGCCATTTCAATATAAAGTTGTAGCCAGTAAATGGCAATTATCCTTTATTGAATGTTACCGCAAATACTCATATGTCTGTTTTTAACAAATACCCTTGAAAAAGTACATGATACTTAATTTATCCGTACTAAACAGTGGTGGACCGTACCATTCCGTATCGTTTCGTGCTGCAACGTAATAAACCGTATAAGACCGTGCTAATCCTTGCCTCTCCGTAGTACAATGTATTACGATCGTGGCTTTCCGTGACAATACCGTATTAATCCGTATCAAAACCGTAGGTTATACGTAGTTCTCCGTACCAAACCGTGGAAAACCTTGGCAAGTTGGTGGACTACGAATCAGTACGGATTAGTACGGTTTTCGTACGGACCAGTACGTATCAGTACGATTTAATACGGACTAGCAGGGATACGCTACGGTTGATTTTTCCGTAGCAAATTTTTGTGCATGTTCAAAAATTGTCAAGGATCGCTACGGATATACAAGGACTACTACGATTGATTACGGTTACAGTACGGAGAGCTACTGACCAGTACGGGTAGCTACGGACGATGCCGGAATTAATCCGTGGCTCTTCCGTGGGCGTATTCCGTGAATATGTGACCGGGGTATAACAGTATCTGCAGTATTCAAGTCATAATTTCGGAAGTGATCATTCCCATCATTTTGTTTAGTTTTCTGGAGAGATCACATAAGTTATGTACAGTATGATGATCACCTTGTTAACTTAGGTTAGAGTATGATCACACTTCACTTTAGTGTATCTGGATGCAGTAGAGATCCTGGCCGGTTTGCAAGGATGTGCAGGTAGGGCTGACTATATACTGCTTGCAATGGCTAATTACTACATTCATAGCAGGCAAAGGGTGAATTAGAATAGCTTTACAGAACTACAGCTCTCAAACAGATTTCCCTGGAGAATGAGATTTATGCCTATAAAAAGCATACATTATTTCACACATCATCTGACATCCGGGTAGTTGCAGAATATCATTGAGAATAACGCTACCTCACATTAAAGAATTCATCTCATTCACATGATTAAAATCTACAGATAAAATGGCTAAATGATTTGAAGTAATAAGTCCCAATGATTTGAAGTAATAAGTCCCAATGATTTAAAGTAATAAATCCCAATGATTTGAAGTAATAAATAACAGCTTTTCATTTCTTGTGCTTTTATTTTAGGACTATTTTTTTCGTAAAATTGCACTAACCAATAAATATAGGTGTAACAAGACATGATTTCACTGAACACTAACTTACACTATACTGTGTTCTTTGTGACAACAACTTGAAAGCTCACAATGTTATATTTTGAAATATTTTGAAAGTAGTTATTACTTACAAATCTAGCAAATGTTTCTTAAAAGATTCATTATCTTAATTCATAAACAGTGTATATCAAACACTCATTTTATATCCACTTATTGTCAATTGTCTTTAATAACTTCGTCCAAACAAGGTGAAATATTTGGCCTCTTTTCCACAGTCTGGATGAATACATTTGGCTCCCTTTTTCAATTCTTCCGGGTGTTTGAATGGTATACATAAGCCCTTGGCTCCCATAGCTGGTGCCCCTTCCTCTACCACCACATCTCTGAAAAACAACAGGGAATGGTATATGTTTTAATAATTAAAGATCCTGTAACTAAATTTTTTTATTGGTATTATGTCATAAATATAATGCCTAAATGAAGATTTAACAAAAATTCCAAGTTCCAAAAAGCATTATTTGTAAAGATATTACCGAATTTAAATTTAAATGTAAATAAAGGGAGGTAAATAGAAATTTATTTTCAATAAAGTCTAAGCCAAATTTTTCAATAAGAAATGAATGCATATATTTCAATGATTACTTATAATGCGTGTAAACATTTGTAAACATAATTATTTAACATATTCTTGGATGTTTGGATATTGTTTTAGAAGAATAATTATTTACATATATAACATTTCTTAATTACAACATACTGGATCTTTCTTTAAAAAAAATTAAAAATAAATAAATACTGGACTCACTGCCAGAATCAAGGGTTGTAAGAGCTTTAAAATTTTGCTTCAATATGAATTACTAGTAGGCATTGATTGAAAAGAAAAAGTCTAAGAACATTAGAGAAGTAATGAATTAATAATTTCATGTCTCAATTGAAAGATTGTGTCTAAAGACAATAATGGACATTGCTGACAATGAAAAACCAAAGTCATATGTGAGCATTATAAAATAAGTTACTGCATTCCTTTACTGATATTTTATCAATTATATTTATTCAACATTGACATAGACTGACCTTCATCTTGTGCTTCTGCTCTCTATTATGAAAGAAAACAACATGCAGTATTTGCACCCAAACCACTTGAGAGGCATGTGATACCAAAGAAATGATCAGAACCATCATATAAGCTGTTTCATCCAATAATCAAAATGGGAGCATCTATTACACTTTAAAGCAAATTTTGCACATCATATTTGATCCCAAACAAAATTCACAAATTTGTTACCTGGCACTATCTTTTTTGATGGCATCTTCGCATGGGATTTCTCCGCAGAATGGAGCTTGTATAAGTTTCTTCTGGTCCAGACCATTACAAAACACCTCCCAGTCATGTGACACTGTCATATAGGCATCAAGATCCTGCTTGGCTCTATTATACAGGAACAAAATATGAAAAAATTATTTAACCAGCTTTGAAGTTTTTGGACGGCAACTGCATCGGCAACGACAACTTAAATGTAGGAATAATTCTTTTTTCTTGGAAAAAGATAAGCTAACAAAATGACAGTAATATTTAACAAAACCATGATTCTGCCAAAAATGATCATATCACAAATTTTAATTGCACTACTTAATAGCAATAGTTTTTCAATGAAAATCAAATGAAAACATATCAAAAGTTTAATTCAAATGACCTTAGAATTTTATTTTTGATCCTTTTTTCCAGAGATAAAAGTTTCGTTTTAACATCTATGAAAATGGCAGGTCATGCTTTAAACTTGATACTACCTACATCTAAGAGTAAATTATCAACAGTATGGCTTGACAAGATCTGTCTTCCTTGTAAGCATTCTGGGAATCCATTAACATATCTTTTAGATTAAAACTGCCTTTTAAGAAACAATTGCACCATCATACAAGTGTTGTGTGGAATAGCAACGCGGGCCTCCCCACCCTTTTAATACTGCCCTTTAATATCAAAAAAATAAACACAATTTAAACCCATACTTTTAATATTTTTGTTTTTTGTTTTGTTTTACCCCCTTTTCCCAAAACCCAGTAACATTTAATATTTTTAAATGCTTAAAAAAAATAGCCCCAGAGAAAACATGTAAAAGGTTTTAAAAATATTAGGGTAGTTTTGGTAATTAAAATAATGCCATATATCAAAGCCTTTGAATAATATCAATTTCTTAGAGATAAAATATCAAAGCAAAAGTTGGTAGAATTATCCCCATGTAATAAGACTGCTTAAATTGTAAGTAATAAATCAGCTACAAAAAATAATACTTACTTGTCAAACAAAGACTGTTGCATTTTTTCTAGTAGATCTTTGATTTGCTGTAAAATATTTTCATTTTTCAGTGTTAACTTCTCCCCGGTGTCTCGACGTACAACTACCATTTGATTTTGTTTTAGATCTCTTGGACCTAATTCTATACGCAATGGTACTCCCTGAAAATATAAAAATAAATAATTAATATTTCTTGTAATGAAATGAACAAAATGTAAAATCAGTATGATAAAAAATACAAGAATGTACAAACTATGTATGGGAAGCTGCATTCCCTATTATGTGTCAAGTAAAGTTGGTACTTCTGTAGGAAGAACTTGCCAGGTTTTTTTTAATGACATTTTTTCATACTATGTCCACCAATAGAATGTAGATTTTAAAACATAACATATATACACAAATCTTAATGTGCCTATTCTCATTTTTGAATTTAAAAGGTAAGATCTTAAGAATAAAATACTACCACTACAAGAATTAAATGAGTTCTATTTTCTTTCTTTCTTTTTCTTTCAAACTCAAGTACTCAAGTAAATTAGATATAGGAGTGAACAGACCTTCAGTTCCCAATGATTGAACTTCCACCCTGGTGAATAGTTATCCCTAAGATCTTCTTTCACTCTGACTCCACCCTGTGCAAGCGTCTTCTTAAAAGCCACACACGCATCCATCAGTTTGTCATTATCTCCCTGTGATAAATTGGCAGTGATACCACATGGCACAATAACAGCCTGTAAAAAAAGAAGAAAAATTTAAATTTTAAAATTTCCCAAATCCTTTAAAAGAAATTTAAAAAGGGGAAAAATGATGAATGTTTTAATTTGGAAAACTAAAATAAAAATTTAAAGTGCTTTATGTTTTTTATATCATATTTTTTAAACCTTTTAGAGAAAGGGAGTTTTGTTTAAAAACCCAGAATAAAAAAACTTTTCACAAAATATATGGTTTTAAAAGGGAATAAAGAAAATAAAAAATTTTAAGGAAGGGCAAAATTTTGATAAATGAAAAATTTTTTTTTGCAAAAATTATAATTTACTGTATTAAATTATTTCTATATGTTCACTGACAATTCTACTACCTATTATGGTTTAATACACATGGGCTATCCCAAGATTTTGTTTCAAAATCTTTGTCATGTGTATCATTAGTAACTTTAACTGTTAATATTATTCAACTTTCTTTAATGAAAATATTTTCCATGCAGTCATATTAAATGCTCTGTGAAAAGAAATTTCATTAGTAACAATTAAATAGTTTTCATTTTAACCATTAAATTCAAGTACATTACAACATTAATCTCAAGATATCATTTTTTCATATTACTTATTAAGATGTTTTAGGTACCAATATCACTTAATTATACTAATTTTACAATTAAAGGGAGATCACTCAAAATTAAAAATATTACTATTTATGTAGCATGTCTAACTAACCTGTAAACAAGCAACCCTAGGTGGCAGCACTAGACCTTGGTTGTCTCCATGCACCATACACATTACACCTATAGTTCTTGTAGTAATACCCCAGGGATTCTGGTACACAAACTTTTTCTCACGTGTTTCTGGATCCTCGTATACAATATCGAACATCTTAGAGAAGTTTTGTCCTAAATGGTGTGAGGTGGCTCCCTGGAATATATATACTCAAAGAATTTAATCTTGTCTTTCTAGAAAATGGGTGATAATCTAGTGGTGAAATATCAAAGCATTGTCAATGAATGTAGAGAAACTGGACTGAAAAACTAGAATTGTGTCCATAGGACATGGATTCCCTACCATTCTGATCATTTGTATGCAGATGGAATGCATGACAGCCTAAAAGATGGATAATGACAAATCTCCAGAATAAACAGGTTTTTTGGGTTTCTTTTTACATATACTTTGAAAATACTGCCTTCACTGTCTAAGGAAAATGCAAGTATGGCGACGGCCAATTTTCTTTAGTATTAAAGCAATGAGATTTTCTCTTTGTTTGATTGGGTTTTACTTCACACAGACACAGTATAGGTCATATGGCAACATTCCAGCTTTACTGATGGAGTAAGACTTCAAGTGCCCTTCCAGACATTATTTCAGGCACGAAAGAGCACCTCAGTAAAACCACCGATGTTCTAAAAGCAATGAGGTAACTCCACTTTTAAAAGGTAGAAAGTCACAATTTGTCCCTTAAACTGTTATCGTGACGTAAGGTTATACATAAGCGAGTGAGTGAATGAGTGAGTAAATAAAGAAACAAACTGACAAACAAATAGATGACATCATACCTGGATAGCCCTACCACTGGCTGATATGTAAGCCTCCACAGTTGTTGTAAAATCTCCACCAGCAAACTTTTCTTTCTCTGTCTTTCTACCTCTAACCACTGGGATAGCAAAATATTCCTCATACACCCTGGCATATAACTCCAGTATTGTGTAAACCTTAACATAAAATGTGTTTAATAATTACTGAAAAGAGTCAATTAATGTCTAAATAAATGAATCAGTAAAAGTTTAGAAATATAAAGGTAATTGGAAAATATATCTAGATGATTGATTTTTGTTCAATTACATAAAACAAATAATGTGAATTGGGTAATCTTTAACAAAACATTAAAGTAAGTCCACTTCACATCACATTTGTATAATAATTGTAAAGCAACTCATTCGGTTTTTTAAGGCCTGGAAAAGGTTTTAACATTTGTACCCCTTTCTAACAAAATAAATCACTTGAAAATAGGTTTTTCGCAGTATTTTAATTTTTTAAGAAAAAATAAAATTGGGTTCATATATTGTACATAAATACATGATGTTTAATCTAATATTTTGGGAAAAATTGTTCAAATGTTGAAAAATTGATTTTTTGGAAAGTTTATGATCTTACAAATATTTTTAAATCTAAAAAATAGTAAGTTATAATGTAAATACTTTTCTCAATTTAAAGGCCTGTTGTCCCCCAGAAACGCTTTTATTTTTATTTATATCTGGTTTTCTGTTACAGTTTCTAAAAAGTTTACTTGAACTTATTTTTGCTTCTTTTGTTCTTTGGAAAATAGTACAGTTATAGTGATTTAGTACTTAGTATGTAAGTCAAAATACTACTTTGTTTATATTTTCCTTCTTAAACGGCAAATTATAGGATGTTAAACGCTACTTTCTTTCTGGTGATTAGCATCTAATATGCTGAGCTCTAATATGGTTATTTAAATAGTATAAAAACTTGTATTTTCCCAATCTAAAGAATAAAATATTTGTTGCTTTCCGAGTATAAGGCATAATGTTCCTTTAATGTTATATTTACCTCCTCGCAAGCCTCGTCCTTGTTGGCCCAAGCTGTATGACCCTCCTGCCACAGAAATTCTCGTGTTCTTAAAAATGGTTGTGGATGTTTGAATTCCCATCTCTAAAAGGTAAAAATGAAATCACAGTAAACTTCATATTTCTTAGTCATTTAAGTGTTATCTAAAAGGCAGATTATACACACGTTTTTTTTTCTAAGATATTACTACAAAGTGATGTAAAATTAAATATATTGTACCAAAATTCAATTATTTTCCTGCTCTTTTTATTTATAAATTAAGCATGAAGTTAAATGTTTGAGTGCTTTTTATATTGTTATTTCTGACAATAAAAAAGGTCTAAATTATTTATATACTTGTCATTTTATCATCTTTGAAGGCTTTGGTATTTTAAACCATCACTATGCTGAGTGTGTATAACAGAGGTGTCCAGCTTTTAATCTTGAATAGTCTATGGCTATTTCATAAGTATTAAAACATTAAAAATGAACTGCAACTGTACAAACTATGGTTAGACTACAAGCTCTTTGCTTTATAATGGTAGCATCTTGTAACTATTGTTTCTAGCACTCTACAAGAGTTAAGCAATCTTGTTGTTCTTGTTGTTATCTGGACTTATTAGTTGCACCAACAAGTCTTCTTGCGAATTTCCAGTTTTATTGGTGGATCAAGACCTCAGATGTTCTTCCATGCAATAATACAGGCAAGAGAAGTCCCATCATAAGCTAGGTTGTTAGCATCGTCTCATGAAAGAGTTCAAAGTTCCTAGCACATTTCGGACCTAAAGCAATTTAGAGGCAAAAGGTTTTAATGTTTAAATGAAAGCCCTCCCAAAAGCTTTCCCAAGAAAATGATTGGGAATTTTTTTAAATTTCCAAAACATTACACCATTGGTTCAGTTTAAGTGGTAAATCTCTGTGGGACTTGATCCATTTAGCATAGGATGGATAAATGACTGTCTCACTGGTAGGACGTATGGCTATAGGTTCTGCTAGGTCAGATTTACCCGACCTCGTTACCCAGGCAACCTGTGTAAATAATCAGTACATATTTGTATGAATTTCATTTCATATATGTAAACTTGTTTCAGTAATGACTCCATCTTACTTAGATATACATTCATCATTTTACTTATAAAATATTTTTCCGCATAAATTTTTATCCTCGACACTACAAAAAAAGACCCATGATAACACTCATTTCTTATCACTTCTTCTTTTTATTTCATTTGGATAAAACCATCAATGATATAAACTTTTAATGGGGCAAGTAATTCAAATGCAGTGACTCATCAGTAATTGAAGGTTCATGAGTTTATTCTCAAGGTTTCTTATGTTTCTAATACTGTACTTATCAGATGTGTAATTACATGGATGCAAGTTCATATTATTTCAGTTGGTTTTATTGAACATCAGGCAAATACTTAAAAACTTGTACCCATGCAATTAGAGTCCTTCAAGTAATCAAAGGATTAGTAAATCTTTGACCTAACTTATCCTATAATTTTTCATGCTGTGCTAGTCCCTGTAATGGGAACATACCTCTGGAGCAAAATCCTCTATATGAGTTTTCTCCCTCTCCAAGGCTGCATTTGAAACAAACATCGGGAAGTATGTGTTCTCCACACCCAATTTCTTGATTTCTGTATCAAAAAACTCCTTAAGCACTTCCCATATAGAATATGACCAGGGGCGGAGAATGTAACAGCCACTGACATCATAATATTCTATCATCTCAGCTTTTGTAATAATCTGTGAGTACCAGTCTGATAAATTCTCTTCCTTTTTGGCCTCTAGACCCAGTCTGAAATAATGAAAATAACATGTGACCTATGACAGATACAAAATTTTTATGTTTGAATGATAACTACGTTTTTGAGTTTCACATAAAAGATACAATTCCTTTAACCTATCTTATCAAACTTCTGGGGTGAAATACATGTACTGAACATGTACTGCTTATGTGTAATCTATTGTATAAGATACTTGTACCTAGTATATCTTGCCGCAGTCATTAACAAATCAAAGTACTTAACAGTACTGATGGAAGGCAACTTTCAACGTCTGAAAATGAGCCGTGTCACGACAAAACCAACTTAATGGGTTTGCGACCAGCATGGATCCAGACCAGCCTGTGCATCCGCGCAGTCTGATCAGGATCCATGCTGTTCGCTTACAGACCCTCTAACAAGTAAAGAAACTGATAGCGAACAGCATGGATCCTGATCAGGCCGAGCGGATGCGCTGGCTGGTCTGGATCCATGCTGGTCGCAAACCCATTATGTTGGTTTTGTCGTGACACAGCTCAAATGTTTTAAGTTCACAATTACTTAAATAGCATTTAACTATATTGTTATAAACATGCGTGGAGATTGTTTTTTGTAAGAACATATACAAGGGGAAACAGTGACGTAAGCTGAGTGATTAAAACAAGACTGACAGGCAATACCCTTACATGACATTGTACTTTAGCCTTTGTAAATAATGAAGAAACTTCATAAATAAGACAGCACATATATTCAGAGAGCCTTCATGGTAGCTAGCAGTTTTTGTTGCTTGTTATAATTATTATACCAACATTGAGTAAAACTTCATTAATATTGTAATGTCCTATACAAACCTTGTCTGTTTCTTAACTTCTCTTGAACCATCATCGGCCTGTGATTGTTTCTGCTGTGATTTTTCTGCTTTCTCTTTCTTTACTTCTGGTTTGTTTTCTTTGTTTGCCTTCTTATCTTTCTTGTCTTTCCTTCCACCACCTGCAGCAAGATCTTCCCCTGTCAGATCCTTGTAATGTTTCTTCAGCGATCAATTTCATCCTACATAAGATTTACATTATCATCAGATGGATAATAAAAATATTGATATGGAAACTTGATTTGAGCGCACATGACAAAACCAACATAGTGCGTTTGCTACCAGCAAGGATCCAGACCAGCCTGTGCATCGATGCTGTTGCTATCAGTTTCTCTACTAGTAATAGGATTTGTAAGCAAACAGCATGGATCCTGATCAGACTGCGCGGATGCGCAGGCTTGTCTGGATCCATGCTGGTCGCAAACACATTATGTTGGTTTTGTCATTTTACTATCTTAAAGATATACATTATATAGCCATTTAAAAATAAAGTTAAAATTGTTTGTTTGTTGTATTGAATATTAAGTCACAACAACATTGTAAAGGCCTTATGATCACTTTTAAGATTTTTATAATGGAGGAAGTCCTCAGATTCCCATTTGCATTATTTCAGGAACAAGCAAGCACCTAAGTCAAACTACCGACTTTCTGTAAGATAGCTGGAAAGTCTCCCCACATGAAAGAATCCAAAGTCACTGAAGGGATTTGAACCCAGTGTTGAGGAGCAAGTGATTTGAAGTCTGCAACATTCGGCAAACAGTGGTCCGTAAATCATTTTACATAACGATTCAAGTTCAAAGTGAGACCTCAAAGAATATATATAATACTCTCAAAAACTGCTTTCTGGTCTATTTTCAGTTCAGATTTAAAATTATATTAGCACAGTGAGTCTCAAACAACCTTGCAGTTTCTTAACTGGAGGAGGAAGACATCCTACATTTTTATTTAGCACAAACACCCATATGCTTATTTAAATCTGTTATAGACCTACATAAATTTAAATGTTACATTTAGACAAAGATTCTATAATGTATTTTTATATCATGCCCCTGAAATTTCAAATATAATTTAACAGTTTCTTAATATTTGTTTAGCTACGTGAAAAATTCAAATCAATCATTTAATCAACAAGAGGGCCATGATGGCCCTGAGGTCGCTCACCTGTATATAGCCCCCCCCCCCAACGTTGCAGGGCCAATTTAACCCAAGGGCTTTTATTTGCACAAACTCGGTAGACACCCATAAGAAGATGTTTCATGCTAAACATCTAAGCTCTAGCTCATTGGGCTTTTTAAAAGAAGACTTTTTTAAGTTTTTACTATACACACATAGTTAGAAACAATGACACCCCTGGGGCCGTGCCAGTTTTGACCCCTGGGCTTTTATTTGAACAAACTTTGTAGACACTTACTAGAAGATGTTTCATGCTTAATATCTAAACTCTAGCTATTTGGGTTTTTTCAAAGAAGATTTTAAGTTTTTGCTATACACATATAAAGAAAATCAATGACCCCCGGGGCGGGGCCAATTTTAACCCCAGGTCTTTTATTTGACCAAACTTTGTAGACACTCACTAAAAGATGTTTCATGCTTAATATCTTAACTCTAGCTATTTGGGTTTTTTCAAAGAAGATTTTTTTAAGTTTTTGCTATACACATATAAGGAAAATCAATAACCCCCTGAGCGGTGCCAATTTTGACCCCAGGGCTTTTATTCGAACAAACCTGGTAGACCCTATTAGAACATGTTTGATGCTAAATATTAGACTACTTATCTTAGCCATAGCTCTTTGAGTTCTTTAAAAGAAGATTTTTTAAGTTTTTGCTATACACATATAAGGAAAATCAATGACCCCCGGGGCGGGGCCAGTTTTGACCCCAGGGCTTTTATTTGAACATACTTGGTAGACACCCATTAGAACATGTTTCATGCTAAATATCTTAGCTCTAGCTCTTTGGGTTCTTTAAAAGAAGACTTTTTAAGTTTTTACTATATGCATATAGGGAAAATCAATGACCCCCTGGGGCGGGGCCAATTTTGACCACAGGGCTTTTATTTGAACAAACTTGGTAGACACTCACTAGAAGATGTTTCATGCCAAATATCTTAGCTCTAGCTCTTACGGTTCTTTAAAAGAAGATTTTTTAAGTTTTTACTATATGCATATAGGGAAAATCAATGACCCCCCGGGGCATGGCCAATTTTGACCCCAGGGCTTTTATTTGAACAAACTTGGTAGACATTCACTAGAAGATGTTTCATGCCAAATATCTTAGCTCTAGCTGTTTGGGTTCTTTAAAAGAAGATTTTTTAAGTTTTTACTATATGCATATAGGGAAAATCAATGACCCCCCCGGGCGGTGCCAATTTTGACCCCAGGGCTTTTATTTGAACAAACTTGGTAGACACCTATTAGAACATGTTTGATGCTAAATATCTTAGCCAAAGCTCTTTGAGTTCTTTAAAAGAAGATCTTTTAAGTTTTTACTATATGCATATAGGGAAAATCAATGGACCCCCGGGGCGGGGCCAATTTTGACCCCAGGGCTTTTATTTGAACAAACTTAATAGACACTTAATAGAACATGTTTCATGCTAAATATTATAGCTCTAACTCTTTTGGTTCTTGAAAAGAAGATTTTTTAATGTTTTTCCTATATGCATATAGGGAAAATCAATGACCCCCTGGGGCGGGGCCAATTTTGACCCCAGGGCTTTTATTTGAACAAACTTGGTAGACACCTATTAGAACATGTTTGATGCTCAATATCTTAGCCATAGCTCTTTGAGTACTTTAAAAGAAGATTTTTTAAGTTTTTACTATATGCATATAGGGAAAATCAATGACCGCCCGGGGCGGGGCCAATTTTGACCCCAGGGCTTTTATTTGAACAAACTTGGTAGACACCCATTAGAACATGTTTCATGCTAAATATCTTAGCTCTAGCTCTTTGGGTTCTTTAAAAGAAGATTTTTAAAGTTTTTACTATATGCATATAGGGAAAATCAATGACCCCCCGGGGCGGGGCCAATTTTGACCCCAGGGCTTTTATTTGAACAAACTTGGTAGACACTCACTAGAAGATGTTTCATGCCAAATATCTAAGCTCTAGCTCTTATGGTTTTTTAAAAGAAGATATTTAAAGTTTTTTCTTTCGGTTGCCATGGCAACCAGAGTTCTGCATGGAATTAAATTCTTTGAACAATTTTTAAAGGTGACCACCAAAGGAACATTCCTTTGAAGTTTGGATGAAATTGGCTTAGTGGTTTATGAGGAGATGTCATTTAAAGTAAAAGTTTACGGACGGACGGACGACGGACGGATGCCGGACGAAAAGCGATCACAAAAGCTCACCCTGTCACTTTGTGACAGGTGAGCTAAAAACTTACTTTTCCTTTATATAAAACCAGCTAGTTTGTAATCTTTAATTTCTTACTCAAATAAAATGTCTTAAAGAATACCTTAGCTGCTTTTGCAGCTTTTATATCTCTAACTTTAGTGCCCTGTGCATCTATTTTAGCTTTCAGATCTAATGCAGCAGCGGAATCTGCCATGCTTTCCGATTCTCCGCTGTCCTGGGTTTGAGTTTCTAACTTGGGAGGGGCTGCGCTGACCTGTCCTGGTTTCCAGTCCTTTCCTGCTGCTGTCTTGTACTCGGCTTTCAGACTCAACAAAACCTTCACCTCAGCATCAACCTGGTCCTGAAAGAACATTTTATTTTATTATCCTGGTCATGGCACCAAAATGTAAAGTGGTCAGTAAATAATGAAGCAACTACTTTGTGTTGAGTCTAAAATGATGTTGTTTTATAACGGTAAAATAACAATACAACCGATATGATGTCATATAAACTCTTCTTCCCACATACGTAACATTGTCTGCCTGCCGTTCCCACTAACGTTACATCATCTTTATGACATCTAGCAATTCTAAAATATATGTAAGATATTACTTAACCCTTACTTTGCTACATATCTTAAACAGACCTTTCTGTTTTTCAATCAGGACAAAACCGTTCATCATTTGAAAGGAAATTTTTTATCACAAGTACTGACTGATCAGCAAACAATGCAGACCATGATCTGTGCTCTGCACTGGTCACAGAAAATTCAGTTGCTGACAGCATGGTAAAGGTTAATAGAAAGATCTGTCTTGAAAATACTAGAATTTTACTCATACCAGTAAAATATTATATGAGAAGATTTTGGTTATGTTCAATAAGTCACTGTTACTATAATAAATAAATATCCAATGAAAGGTATTGAGCATTCCCTACATGAACATCATCAACAATTGACAGAAAATTGCCCTAAAGCATAGTTTTTCATCAATATTACATTATGTGAAGATGAAAACAATTGGTCCCTTACTGCCAAACATTATCAAAGCATACAATCTTTAATATTACATTTATTATCTTTATTTGTTCTATCTTTTTTTTTTTCAGAATATTATCACATTAATATAATTTTTATTCTATGTACATGTAAATAAACTTCACTATGTTTATAATCTTTATATCTAAACATAACAAGAAATATGAACATTGTTCGTAACCTTTCTTAATATAAACAATCTACAGTACAATTTATAGACTTTAATATCTGTCCAGTGATTTCCAGTTTTAAATGTTGATAAGCATGCAAAAGTACCTTTTCCTTAATCTTTTAAAGGTGTACTAAATTCAAATTTAAATGTAATATTAGTAATAGAAAGAGCACCGAAACACGAGGCTATCTGATTTGTACGAGGGGGCGTAGCCCCCGAGTATAAATCAGATTGCCGAGTGTTTTGGTGTTCTTTCTCTTTTGTATCATAGTCAAACATGACAGCACGTTCCCTGTTGTCATAATATGAAACCCCAGAAAAACTTAACCAATGAACGAGCATTTGAATATGATAGTTCTGCCCCTATCCCTTTCTCTGCCGTCACAATATGTAAACCCCGGCAAAAATGAACCAATCCACGGGCATTATCTGGAGTGCGGGTAACTGATACCCGCACTCCAGTTACCGCACTGTGCATGTTTATGTATACGATTTAACTCTGACACTTTTTCAACAGAAAGGTCCCCAAACTATGATACAATATATCTTTATTATTTCACAACATGAGATGACCTAATTTTGTATGATGAATCATGATGCAACAAATTGCAAGTTATATTGTATCAAATATCCAACATGCCTACTTTGACAATATTGATAGTTATTGCATCATCATCATTTATCAATTGATCAAATTATACACAGTGGTGAAAAAATAATCACTGTACCATGTCTTGAAAGCTTTTAAAATTTAATGTGTATTTATCCTGTCTTGCATAACATTAACACCTGCTATTTCTGATCACTGTACATTTCAATCTTAAATTTTATATCTTTTCATTTTTGAGTAAACAGGACAAAATTTTGTTTAGGCCATTGTTACCATACATGTGAACTTTTTTCGATGATCAAGTGGGAGACTTTTCTTCAAAAAGAGGGAGATTTTAGAATTTGTGAAAATACACCTTATTTTAAGATAAATCTTGGAAAATATGGCAAGTCTCCCGCTAAAACTAAAAGTGGGAGAGTTCACATGTATGTGTTACACAAAATACTTACTATAATAATTAGTATACAAACTAGTTGTTTTAGCAAAACTTTTGTGTTACATGTATTATCTTTAATATTTAAAATACAGTTTAAAGATTCTTCTTTTTTTATTTCAAATGCAGTGTTTTTCTAAGTTAAATACACTTCTTGTATATTACATTCAATAAATTCAAATGCAACCAGTCTTGCATTGGCTTTTAAAGCATGCAGTTGTCTAGTGAACTTAACAAAGCATCCTATTCTTTCATGTTATGTATAAGTATAATGTTGTTAAATCAAAGCCCAAAGGGCATTATTGACACCATTAAACAAGTGTCAAGTGATGTTTTGACAGATCAAAAGTTAACTTTTTTTTATCAACAATAAGTACCACTTTATACATTATGTTTTATCATACATGTACACAAATAACTAAAATAAACATTGAAATTCTTTCTTTAATCTAACTTCCATGTTACTTCCCCTACACAGCAATAAATGATCTCTTTTCATAACATCTAAAACATAGACTGAAAACAAGTGTTAACAAATTCTATCTTAAACATGATCAAAAGTCGACCATGATTCATAAAATGCGTGACTAGGCAAGGAAAACTTAAATTTTATTATAACACATTCACCTGTAATCTACATGAAAAATTATGTCTATAATTATTACTTTAAGTTTAAATGATACCTTAAAGCACTGGCAAATATGTTAAAATCATCTCCCCTACCTAAATTTTTAATCCACGTGGCTACAAGTATCAACAATGTAATCTAACACCTACTATGTTTTACAACTGACCTAGATAACAGTATTTCCTCAATGAATCTATAAATAGACTGGTAGTCAATGAAGCATTGAGCTGTAGGCTACAGACTACTAAATGTTTAAAATTTAGAAGGCCAGAAACCACTAATACCAGACATGAAAAAAGATACTGGCAATAAGTTAAGACTAAAAAGAGCAAATTTCACTCATTTGTAGGGAAACAGGTTGCTGTAATTTTTTTCAAATTATAAAAGAAAATTCTCTGTTATTTTAATATCAGAAATACAGTTATTTTAATTTGATATCATTTAATCTTAATTTAATTTACAAAATTTCTATATATCAAAATAATTAGCCAGTTTTCGACATTTTCTGACTAAAACTGCACATGGGTATACATTGACAGAGAAGAAAAATGCAATGATAGTTTAAATCACACGAGCATACACTGTAATGCTGTACATTTTTAATATACATGACATAGGATGCCATTTAAAAATACCCTACTACAATGAAGGCCCTGTAAGTTTCATTTTCAAAATGTAACTGTCATCACAGTTTCATATGGAAATAGGACAGGCATGTTTTCTATAACAGCTTGTTTAAGGTAGTGGCAGAAACAGGAAAGTATAACACAAAGTAAAAGCAGCCTTGTATTATCTCATGCACCAAAGACCCCTTCATCTTAGACTTACAGCTCCTTCAGAACACTTAACACCATTCATTCACTACAGCCATTTATTCCATGATATTTAAAACTTGGAATATTAACAATGTTTTTTATGCAAAATAAAACTATCACAATGAATTAACTTTTACCATGATCAGTACCTCAATCTGGTCAAAACCATTAGTTTTTTTTAGTGTAAATTTCAAAATACAGGTATGTAAGGACTGAGTGCAACCAGTGCAGACAACATAAGTACCAGCTGATCTAAATTTGCAATGGTTGCATTGGCAGATTCAGAACCTACCAGCAAGCTATGTACAGGTTAAACATGATTACAGCCTTGAGGCATGTTTGGCAAATATATACAAATCTGCAAATCTATCTTTGCCTGTCCAATTTTCATTTAAATGTTTTATAGCATAAAATCGGCTATTTTTCCCTCTTTTGCCCATGTTATAACGGGGCCAAAACCATGCGTTAACATAGTCACGCGCTCTTGTTATAGCCCGGTTTTACCTATGCGCAATACATACAGGGCCCAGTAAACAAACAAAAAATGACGATTTGGCCTGTTTGCCAGAGTCATGCGCTCTTGTTATATTGGAATTATTAATTTGATGGCCTCAGTCGCATAACGGCGAGCAGCATTCAAGTAATTATGCCGGCAATACGGCGTATAGACATCGCCGCTTATCTTGGTTGTCGCCCTTTCTTAGAAACGGACAGTTGTCAATGTAAACAAATAGAATCTGTCATTCAGTTTAATCCCCCGATTAACTTACAAAAATGGAAAGCACAAAATGAATATAAAAAAACGTTGTTTTATTGACGTTTATATTGATAAATGTCCTGTATGTTTCTTTGAGAGAATAATGTTTTATGCCTGATTTTTTTTAAACTTGCGTGCTTAAAAAAAACGATTCTGAATTTGAATCTGATGTCACTGATCTTTTTCCTACCGCCAATCTGTAATCATTCTAGGAATTTCTGAGGCGTCTGTTTTGTCTTGGGGAGATTACAGTAATGTTATGTTTTTCTTAACTTAATATATCCCCAAAGTTAAACTTTGTTAAATCAATTAAAATTCGAAATTTCGTTCGGTTCTCAAGTTGTTGGCCCCGGAAAAAATAAAACGCATACCTAAAACATGTAGAGTTGGATAAATACCGTTCAAGCACAAGGATTTTATGTTTGTGTTTTGTATATAATATACATCATGAATCTGTTTTAAAAATTTTATGCTATAATAGCGTCAACGCACGTTAATTTCGTGTTATAAAGTCTGCAGAGTCACTTGGAACTGTTGGAGCCCTCGCCCTACCGGGCTCGGGCACCAACCGTTCCTCGGGACTATGCAGACGTTATAACACGGAAAAACGTGCGTTAACCCTATAAAAACCTTTATAATAATAAATCATATCAGGCATCTGATCTGCCATATAAATTACCAATTATTTATCTATCTTTATTATATGATCTAAATATAGCTGCAATTTGTTTTGGTCCAAACAGCAGTGCCGCGCTTCAATGAAAACAGGCAAAAGTTGTGTTTTGTATTTCCTTACAAGGGTTTACATATTGTTTGTTTTTTATTTAATCTTTGGCTATTCATATAATATGCCATCTGCCAGAGAGTATCACATCATTTTAAATGGCTCACTAGTCAATAATTGCATAAAAACATACAGCTAATAAGACAACACCATTGTAAAACATAATACATGTAATAACCAATAACAATACATTATCATAATCACTATTAAAAATCAACTATACATGTACATAATTATAAAATACATGAATAAATGAACAAATTTCATCCTTTCTACAAATGTTTTAATGACTAGCACTGGTCTGACTACCAGCTTATAGGCACAAGGTTTTTTTGCTTTACTAAAAGATAAGTATACTACTGGGTGGTGCTCACTACTGTATCAGTAGCACTCAATGAAAAATGGACAGGTTTTGGAAAATAAGTATTAGCATGTACCATGTGACGACATACATGAATCAAAGCATACCTATCTCACACACAATAAAGGATGACATGCCATTTACCCCAAAAAGCTTCCAGAATAAGCTTGCTAATCTATCTTTCTTTTTCGCAAACTCAACAACTTTATCTAGTGTAATGAATAATGAATAGTGAGAATAATTTAAGAGATCCCTCAACAATGGGATAAGAATTCAGCAACAACTGGTCTTTGAATTTCTATATTTCCAAACAAGCCACTGGGAAGGTGAGACAGTAATATTATACCATTTCTGTACTTTTACAAAAACTTAAAATCTATGGACTGTGTATCTAATAGGATTTTGTGCCAGTGTAAACTACAAGACTGACTACTAACTAAATGAATATAGCTTTAACCTAAAAACTTTAACCTAAAACTTAAAATTGGGAATTTAATCATTACCTTTGGTGCTTTACCACTCTTCAGGTCCCTGATCTTGTTGCCCTGTGCTGTTATCTTGTTGTTAAGGTCATCGATCACCTGACTCTGATTACTCTCCTGTTTAACGGTCTTGTTACTGTCACCTGCTGGCTTGGAACCAGCAATATGACAACCTGGTTTCCAGTCCTTGCCTGTTGCAGACTTGTACTCGGCTTTCAGAGCTAAAAGTGTCTTCACTGCAACATCTACCTCATTCTGAAAGATACGTCAAATATGACTATAAGAATTCAAGGGCCATAACTTTATAAAGTTATAGTCAATTCTACAGAAATAAGCTGGGAAATCATCAGGATATACTAAGATCTTGCAGGTCAAAAATCCCCAAAAATATCACTCACTTTATTAAACAGACCTCACATTATTTTGATTTGATCAATTCAAGGGCAAAAGTAGACACTAATGGTATTGAAAGTAGCTTAAATGTTTATGACCTAATGCAATACTCCAATCAGTGCAGAAATATTCTTTAAACCTTACTTTTGCTGTTGAGTGTATATATTATTTACTTCGTTGACTATTGTTTAATTTGAATGTCTTCGCCAATTCACTGGTAGTAAATTTAGTAGACATTAAATCCATGCTGATATTGTATTTACTTTATAGACTTTAATCCAAGTACTTTTTGATCACTTTGACAGTAGATCCCACAGTGATCACTTAAGTTTTTTGAGAAAACACCTATTTTTAACCATTTATCATGATCAAGCTTTGAATCTGGAACAGTACAGGAATTTGTGTGTAAAATTTTACATATAATGAGTAACCACCAGTAGTTTGATTATACTGTTCATATTTCTTTTATTATCCTTGCTAAAAAGTTGTCATTCATGGTGCAATAAAATTGATTTGAATGAATGTCTTGATCATTACCTTGGCAGCTTTCTTGGCTTTCAGATCCCTCACTGCATTACCCTGGGCAACTATCTTCTCATTTATGTCATCAGCATTTCCACCACCAGAGGGCGAACTGGTCGCAGGTTTACTGGGAGCACTTGCTTCATGTTGACCTGGTTTCCAATCTTTACCTGTAGCAGTCTTATAGTCTGCCTTTAGTGACAGTAACATTTTTACAGCTGCATCAATGTCAGCCTGAAATTTAACACAATGGAGCTCACTTATAATCAATGTGGTTAAAAATGAAAAAAAAATATATTACAGAAATTCCAAGACAGAAATTCTTCCTTATTTAAATTTCCCAGTAACAAGTCTTACAAATCTGGATAAAGTCCAAAAATATGTTAGAACATTTGTTTTCTAAAGTCCTAAAATACTTGTACACGAACAAAGGTTAATACACTTGATTTAAGGCAATTACCTTTTCATCAGTATACCATTCAAACATCAGCCTCATATCTGAATCGCAATATCTCAGCAGTTATATTTTACACTGATGAATTGACTTTTATCAAGTGTTAAAGATTAATCAACCTTAAAGTTTATTTATTTCTTAAGGAAGCATTTCGAGAGGTTATCTATTTCCATATGAAAATGTGATTATTCCAAAAATATGACCCCTGACAAAAACTTGTTCCAAGTTCAATAACAAAGTTTTTGAAAGCAATCAAACAAAAATTGCAAGATGTCTGTAATGATTATTCTTAATAAAACACTACATAAATTTCACAATAAATACCTTTGCAGCTTTCTTAGCTTTGAGATCTCTCACTGTATCACCCTGGGCAACTATCTTCTCATTTATGTCATCAGCATTTCCACCACCAGAGGGTGCACTAGCTGCAGTTTTACTGGGAGAACTTGCTGCATGTTGACCTGGTTTCCAATCTTTACCTGTAGCAGTCTTATAGTCTGCCTTTAATGACAGTAATGTTTTTACAGCTGCATCAATGTCAGTCTGAAATTTAATACAATAGAGCTCACTTACAATCACTGAAGCAATATTATAGCATGAGATTTAACACAATGGAGCTCACTGATAATCAATGTAGTTAAAATAAGTAAGTAGATATTACATAAATTCCAAGACAGGAATCCATTCCTAATAACAAGAGTCTTACAAATTTGAGTGAAGTCCAAAAATATGTTAGAACAATTGTTTTCTAAAGTCCTATTAATACTTGTACATGTACAAATGTTAATTGACTCGATTTAAGGCAATTACCTTTTCACTAGTTTACCATGCAAACAACAGCCTTATAACTGAATCATAATATCCTAATAGTTATGTTTAACACTGATGAATTGACTTTTATCAAGTGTTAAAGATAAATCAAGCTTAAAGTTTATTCATTTCTTAAGGAAGCATTTTGATAGGTTATCTTTATCCATATAACAAGAGCTGTCGGTAGGACAGCACGCTCGACTATTCTAAGTGCTTGATAGTAAAAGAGCCTTGATAATGTTAAATTTTCTAAGTTCACAAAAGGGCTAATTTTTTTTATAAATTCATGTTATAGGCCTTAGAGAGAGTCTAATTATACAGTATTGGCTTGACTATTTGGAAGGTAATGTCACAAGGGTGTTTTATTGTGTATAATAATACTAATTACCTATGAATACATAAAATTGACAGAAAAGGTACAAAGGCTTGTTATTAAGATATTTTATCAAGTAAATCACTGCTTTATTATTATGAATGCATAAAATTGTCCCAAAAAAGGCACAAACCCTTCAGTAGTTACAGCTTACAAGCAAAACTTTACCATGAATTTTTGAAGTTGAAAAAGGGAAGAAAAATCAGCCTAAATGCAAGATAGAATTATGGATCTTTGTCAGTGACCTACAATTCTGACCCTAAATGCATATGTGAAGTTTTAAATAAATATCTTGAATAGTTATTGAGATATGTAAAACTTGCATGTAAACATTAACCAAGAGACTAAGTAGAAAAGGGGATATAAATCAGCCTTAATGCAAGATAGAGTTATGGAACTTGCTCAGTGACATACAATTATGACCCTCAAATTATAACCCTAAGTACATGTGTAAAGTTTCAAGTAAATATCTTTGAAGACCTTTAACCTTTAACCAAAATCTCTAAGTTTCAAAGGGGCAAATAATTCTGCAAATATTGCAGACAGAGTTATGCAATTTTGCAAAATGATGTACATTGTTACTATAAAAAAGTCTTGTAAATTTCAATTGAATATCTCAAGCAATAATTGAGATATTTGACTTTACAAAAAAACTTTAACCAAAATTTCTAAGTTCCAAAGGGGCATAATTCTGTCAATATTGTAGGCAGAGTTATCCTACTTGTCAATCTGATGTACCTTGTTACTATAAATAAGTATTGTAAGTTTCAATTGAATATCTCAAGCAATAACTGAGATATTTGACTTTACAAAAAAACTTTAACCAAAATTTCTAAGTTAAAAAGGGGCATAATTCTGTCAATATTGTAGGCAGAGTTATCCAACTTGTCAATCATATGTACCTTGTTACTATAAATAAGTATTGTAAGTTTCAATTGAATATCTCAAGCAATAATTGAGATATTTGACTTTACAAAAAACTTTAACCAACGCAGACGCCGACGCGGACGCGGACGCCGGGGCGACTACAATAGCTCTCATATTCTTCGAATAGTCGAGCTAAAAATGTGATTATTGCAAAAATATGACCCCTGACAACAAACTTGTTCCAAGTTCAATAACAAAGTCTTCAAAAGCAATCAAACAAGAATTGCAAGATGTCTGTAATGATTATTCTTAATGAAACACTACATTAAGTTCACAAAGTTTACCTTTGGTGCTTTCTTGGCTTTGAGATCTCTCACTGTATCACCCTGAGCAACTATCTTCTCATTTATGTCATCAGCATTTCCACCACTAGAGGGCGCATTGGCTGCAGGTTTACTAGGAGCACTTGCTGCATGTTGACCTGGTTTCCAATCTTTACCTGTAGCTGTCTTATAGTCTGCCTTTAGTAGTAGTAATGTTTTTACAGCTGCATCAATGTCAGTCTGAAATATTAATGCATATTACAAATTCAAAGACGCATGCCTTAAGATGAGCCAAAATATTTCGAGAAAATTAAAATTGAGAAAAATGTTCTAAGATTATTAGAAAACTAAAAATATTCAAGTAATAATTGACATGTTATCTGCGACAAATGACTGATTTTGCAGTATTTATCACTGTATTTTTACTGTGTGACTAACACAGAAAGGGCTATTTTTGAATATTTTGACCTCGTTTTGATAATTTACCTAGATTGTAAGTGCCGTTTGCAATGTGTTAGTTATTTTCTTTGTTCACTTTACAATATATTACTTTTAAGTACATGTTATGAAAATAAGCATGAATCTGGAGGCATGCTGCTTTGAAACCTTCAAGACACAACACAAAATTGAAGTTGACTTTTATTTTGGTCTGTCTTGAAATAATTTAACCCCATTATATTCCTTTCATAAAAATAAGAGAGAAATACAGACAGAACTGGCAATAATAACAAACATCTAACTTTTATTGTTCTTCTAAAATTACACCCAGAAACTTGTGAGAATACAAAAAGCATCTCACTACACTTGTATAAAATTTAGTACACATTTTATAAGTACAAAGGGTCATTACTTAGGTGTTTCTTTTAGAAACATGTTAAATGTCATGATAGTAATCTACATCTATTACAAAAATATGAATGATTATGCCTAAATATTATTCATAATGCAGAAATTTAAGGGGAATATATGCAAAGCTACAATTATATCCACTTAATGATTGTATACCCCTTATCTTAGCAACATGTTATAGCACTAGCTGCCAGACTTCCAAACAGTTTACTTTAATGTAAAGATTAAGTCAATTTTATAATATTTACCTTTGAAGCTTTCTTAGCTTTGAGATCTCTCACTGTATCACCCTGGGCAACTATATTCTCATTTAAGTCATCAGCATTTCCACCACCAGAGGGCGCACTAGCTGCAGTTTTACTGGGAGAACTTGCTACATGTTGACCTGGTTTCCAATCTTTACCTGTAGCAGTCTTATAGTCTGCCTTTAGTGATAATAAGGTTTTTACAGCTGCATCAATATCAGCCTGAAATGTTTAATAAATTTGTCCACATTCTTGCATACATTCCATATATGTTCAAAGATTCACTTGCAAAGAAGAAAACAGGAGTCATGCTAAATCGAAATCATTGTCTAGAATACTTTATTGAGATAATATCATTTATCGAAACCACCTTGTTGCCTTAGTGCAGTAATGGCAGTGTCTATTCTAGGAGGGGGGATGGGGGGATTCATCCCTATTTTTGAGAATTTCCCCCCCCCCATTTTCCAGAGGCAGGGAGAAAATCCTGTTTTTCAAATCCTAGAATAGACATTGGTAATGGGTTAATTGCTATTAAATTTCATAGGAGTTAACTTGTTACTGCACTTAGGTGCTGATTTATTTAATATATACATCTATTTAAGCAGACTGAATTCCTTCATCATGATATCTCATCAAGCTACTTTAAATAACTATACATTTCATCATAATATTATAAATGTATACATAATAATATTACCTTGGCAGCTTTGGCAGCTTTCATATCTCGAACCTTGTTTCCCTGAACAACAAGCTGATCATTAAGCTGGTCAGCATTAGCTCCCCCTGGCTGTGTTGGTGGTTGCTCATCCTGGGGAGATTTCTCTGCTGCTTTACCTTTCTTACTCTGAGCCTTCTACAATACAATAATAAGTCAAGTTTAACACTTGTAAGAGAAGTCCTTAATATCATGAATGCTTGGCCTAAGATTTTGTTTTATTTCAGCTTCATGGGTGATTGGTTAAAGTCACTCTTTCTACCCTTGCAGTGTACACCGAGATCAGCCGGCACATCAGCACTGTCTGATCATAGTCTGCACTGTTCACTTAACAATCAGTTATTATTTAGAAATTTTCCCTTAAATCATAAATGGTTTTGTCCAGATGAAAAGCATATTAACACTTAACATGAAACAAATTTTACCTCTTTTTTGCTAGCCTCTTCTTTGTGTTTGGATCCTGAAGTTGGCATCTCCTTTGTATGACCATCAGGTATCAGGAAAAGTACACATGGACTCTCTTTACCAGTGTATCGACTGCAATATGAAGTTGATCATATTAAGTCTTAAAACTTGTATACAAATCTATTTTCAGAAATTATATTGACTATGATTTAAACAACAAATGAAACTTGACCTAAAAAAATTGAATTATAAGGTAATCATATCACTTAGCTTAATCAAAATTTAAATTCAACTCTATAACAAGAGGGCCCTGAAGTCGCTCACCTGTATATAGGCCCCCGGAGCGGGGCCAGTTTAAACCCCAGGGCTTTTATTTGAACAAACTTGGTAGACACCCATTAGAAGATGTTTCATGCTAAACATCTAAGGTCTAGCTGGTCAAGTTTTTTCTTTACACATATAGTTAAAAAGAATGACACACGTGGGGCAGGGCCAGTTTTGACCCAAGGGCTTTTATTTGAACAATCTTTGTAGACACTTACTAGAAAATGTTTCATGCTTAATATCTAAACTCTAGCTATTCGGGTTTTTTCAAAGAAGATTTTTAAGTTTTTGCTATACACATATAAGGAAAATCAATGTCCCCCGGGGCAGGGCCAATTTTGACCCCAGGGCTTTTATTTGAACAAACTTTGTAGACACTCACTAGAAGATGCTTCATGCTTAATATCTAAACTGTAGCTATTTGAGTTTTTTCAAAGAAGATTTTTTAAGTTTTTGTTATACACATATAAGGAAAATGAATGACCCCCAGGGCGGGGCCAATTTTGACTCCAGGGCTTTTATTACAACAAACTTGGTAGACACTCACTAGAAGATGTTTCATGCTCAGTATCTAAACTCTAGCTATTTGGTTTTTTTCAAAGAAGATTTTTTAAGTTTTTGCTATACACATATAAGGAAAATCAATGACCCCCGGGGCGGGGCAAATTTTGACCCCAGGGCTCTTATTTGAACAAACTTGGTAGACATCCATTAGAATATGTTTCATGCTAAATATCTTAGCTCTAGCTCTTTGGGTTCTTTAAAAGAAGATTTTTTAAGTTTTTACTATGTGCATATAGGGAAAATCAATGAGCCCCTGGGGCAGGGCCAATTTTGACCCCAAGGCTTTTATTTGAACAAACTTGGTAGACACCCATTAGAGGATGTATCATGCTAAATATCTTAGCTCTAGGTCTTTGGGTTCTTTCAAAGAAGTTTTTTAAGTTTTTACTATATGCATATAGGGAAAATCAATGACCCCCTGGGGCGGGGCCAATTTTGACCCCAGGGCTTTTATTTGAACAAACTTGGTAGACACTCACTAGAAGATGTTTCATGCCAAATATCTAAGCTCTAGCTCTTTGGGTTTTTTAGAAGAAGATATTTAAAGTTTTTTCTTTTGGTTGCCATGGCAACCAGAGTTCTGCATGGAATTAAATTCTTTGAACAATTTTCAAAGGTGACCACCAAAGGAACATTCCTGTGAAGTTTGGATGAAATTGGCTTAGTGGTTTATGAGGAGATGTCATTTAAAGTAAAAGTTTACGGACGGACGACGGACTGACAGACGACGGACGGACGACGGACGAAAAGCGATCACAAAAGCTCACCCTGTCACTTTGTGACAGGTGAGCTAAAAAGTCAAGTGCAATAAAAGAGCTCACAAATTGCTTTATTGCTGAGTATTTTGTTCTGTATTAATAACAAGGTTCTTACAAACTGCTCTGCAACTTTAAAGTTCTTCTTTCAATAGTTTACTAATGCAAGAGTTTATTGTTTGTATTGATTTTTATAATTTAGCAACAATTATCTGCCTTTACAATATTTATAGATAAGTATTTGAACAAGTACAATACCTGACTGGCTGATATGGTTGGTCACAGATATAATATCCTCTCCTTTGTAACTGAATTATATCCCCTTTCTTCAAGGAAGCCAAGCAAGGATCCCCTAACATTGTTAACTCAGCCTGATAAATAATATAAATATATATTACTGTAGAATTGATAATACTAACAAGTTCTATTTTCAAACCACTATGCCATAATACCAAACCTTATGGTGTTAAAAAATCTGGCCTTAAGTGTCAAGATGATTTAGAGGTCAAGGTCAATTTTAAAATGAACTTTGAATACAAAAGTATGTTGTGTCAAATAAGTTTTGACCTTGAATACAAAGGTATGTTGTGTCAAATAAGTTTTGACCATGAATACAAAGGTATGTTGTGTCAAATAAGTTTTGACCATGAATACAAAGGTATGTTGTGTCAAACATGTTTTACCTTGAATACAAAGGTATGTTGTGTCAAACATGTTTTACCTTGAATACAAAGGTATGTTGTGTCAAACATGTTTTACCTTGAATACAAAGGTATGTTGTGTCAAACATGTTTTACCTTGAATACAAAGGTATGTTGTGTCAAACATGTTTTACCTTGAATACAAAGGTATGTTGTGTCAAACATGTTTTACCTTGAATACAAAGGTATGTTGTGTCAAACATGCTTTACCTTGAATACAAAGGTATGTTGTGTCAAACATGCTTTACCTTGAATACAAAGGTATGTTGTGTCAAACATGTTTTACCTTGAAAACAAAGGTCAAGTATGAAAGTTTAAGCTAGAAAATGGAGATATTAAGCTCAATGGTGTCAGGATAGGGAAACCAAAAACAGACGGACAGACAGACAGTACAAACCATTAAGCCTGCCTTCTGATCTATCAATCAATGTGAAAGCATAAAAATAAAAAATAATCTGTTTCATGGACTCAAGCAAGTTAATCTAAAATTAGACAGTTATAACAATTTCTTATCAATATCTGCAATAAGGTAATTGATCTTATACACAATTACATGTTTATTATTTCATTAAATCAAAAAACTGTTAAATGTTAAGTTATACAAAATATGTTACCTTTGAGTTTTCGTTCACATATTCCTTGAAGTCCTCCTCTTTACCCAAGATTGCTTTAGTTATGATATGATCGTAGTGCACGCATACTGTTGGTGTAAACTGGGCCACAGTTGTCTCCCCTAACCAGGTTATCTTTTGAGTTTTCTTATAGTCCTGTAACAGTAAACCATATATACCATGCTTGTACAAATGTATATACCTAATCATACAATATGATAACAAACAAATAAATACAAACAGAAATAAATACATCACTTTTGACTTCTGAACCTATCAATTCATTCTTTGACACAGTTATAAGAGGTTCTTATATATCAGACTTGAATTTCTTGTATTTGCACTAGTGCTTGAAATTGTCATCTTACACTCCCAGAGTGCTTTCATTAATGAAGTATTTACATTACATACAAATGTAATACTTTAAGACAATATGATATAAAACTATTACAGTAAATTCTCTCTATTAAGACCACTAACGGGTCTGACTCAAAGTGGTCTTAATAGTGAACTGGTCTTAATAGTGAATAAGTCACTTTAACAGCTGACAAAGTCCAACTTAACTTAATGTATACCTTGTATAGTTTTATGCACATGGTAAATGTACTTAATTAAATGAGTAAAAAGAAACACATTTTTTTAAACAAAAAACATTTTTAATGCATGATAATAATTATTATACTGTACATCATTAATATGATGAAAACATTAATTTACGACTTCCACTTAAGAAGAAAAATATGAGGTATTAATATAGTATGACTCTCATTATGATTTATACATTAATTACATATCGAAATAAAGCACACATGAACTGATAATTTGGTGTAATTAGCAATTTCTACCATACTTGCTATAAATTGTGATGCACAACAAACAATTTTACATGCTATTTACTTGTTTATCACATCCTAATTACGCTGACAAATTAATCGTTTCTCGCACCATAGCTGCTTAGATTAATTAGCCAGAAGTGGTTTAAACTGGTCATGCTGACGCTTGAATGCTAAAGATACATCGTAAAGCAAGCGTCTAATCAATTGATATATATTAATGACCTCATTTGACCCGGTGTATTTGTTTACGCCAGAGGGAAGATTACGACAATTAATTGGGGGGCAATTAACACCAAGTGATGTCTGGCCATTATGTTGCATGGTCGTAATACAGGTTAATGTTTTGATAAGAAATACACACAAATGTCTGACAGAAGTGGTCGTTATGCCGGATTAGAGACGTGGTCGGTATTCTGGTCATTTTTCTCAATGAATAAAGAAGGCAAATATTTTGTACTTTTAAAAAGTGCCCGTAATAGCGGCGTGGTCCTATTTGTGACGTGGTCGTTAGGTGGCATTTTACTGTATATTTAGTTCTTTATTTTCCAATAATAATCAATTTGTAAAATTCAATAAAAAGAACTCAAACACTGGTGGTCAGTACCAGGTAGAATATCTGACCACCTTGCAGTAACTCAACAAGGCCTCTTTACAGCCTGACACAGTTACCTACAAGATGGCAAAACATGTTTGTACAGGAAGCTAGTGTCATCAAGGCCTATGTGTACCTAACATACTCTTGCTTAAGAATATGACACTCCACAGTCTATTATAAGCAGAAATGGCAAAATCTGTTTTCCGTATTGCCTGGGTTGTCCCACAGCCAGTATGGACAAGTAAAATTTTACAAGAATTTCCTACATATAAATAATAATAATAATACAGACAAGTAAAGAAATAAATCAGATCAAACAAACAAGTAAGTCAAAATCAGATTTTGCCAGCCCTAAATAAGTCATGCATCCTCAACAGTGGTATAAATCTGAATTTCCTTTCAGAAAATAAACATGCATAAGTTACATAAACATACAATGTAGAACACTTTCATAAAAGTTTATAAAACTTTCATGAAAATTTTACATATATTCTGCATGTGAAAACCCATTATACTGATACAATAATAAAATTAATTTTGTTTTCACTTACTGTATTCTCTAGGTTAAGCTCAGCATCTATAGAAGTAATCTTATCACCTGATCTAAAAATATAGGGTGAATATTTAAGGTAAGTCATAACAAAATTTCCTTCTAGAACTGTATTCTGCACCATTGTCTGTATTAGTGTAACACTTCAATTTCTAAGTAATATGAAAGGACTAAAGTATAATTTGTTAATGACATGATATGAGACTAGTAAATACAAGTAGTTCTAATTGTAAATGAGTGTAGGTTCAATACTGAATATAATAACTTTGATTTAATAAGAAAAGAGTTCAATAAATTTGGTAATGAAGCTACAGGAATATAATATTCTATTTTTGTTTTCACATTTAATAGGCTTTTATATTATGTTTGTTTACCCTATATGACATTACAATTCAAAGTTACTACACATTAGTGTATTATCATTTTTATAAAATGGCTTTTTTATTACCCCCCCCCCCCCCTGCAATATGTTTTAATAAACAAATAATATTTTTCTAAAAATATAAAATTTCATAACTTAAAGGGAGTAAAGCTATGATTAATTAATATTCTCTTTACAGCGGTGCAGTGGTCTAGTGGTTAAGATGTCTGCCTCTCAACCCAGGGATCACAGGTTCGAGCCCTACTCGGGTCACAACCATGTTTCCTCATATCGCACCAGTTCTGGTCAGTTCCACTGTTGATAATATTAACTGTACCTCACTGTTGAACTTGGAAAAATCTATATTTTATAACCTGACTAAAAAATGTTATTTTACCAGAGTATCATACAGAATGATGTCCGACTTACTTGTTTATCTTAACAATACGAAGGTTTCCCCAGTTTATGAAGGTAACAATTTCTCCTTCGCTGATCACTGAAGCATCTGCCCCATCAATATACAACTTGGAGGAGTAGTGGATAACTTTAGTACCAGCTTCTTCATTCTAAAAATACATGATATTACTTTCATCATTTAAGTCATTACATTAAAGCAGCACGCCTCCAGATTTACGCTAATTTTCATGAATATTTTGAAAATGTATTTGAATGTATAATATTAAGAAATAACCAAAAGGAAGCAATTTGCACATTATCAATGGCACTTATAACCCACGTAAATTACAAAACAGTTGTCAATATATGCATAAATAGTCCTTACTGCGTTAGTAATGCAGTAGCAATATAGTTGTAAACATTTAAAAATCAGTCATTAACCGCACATAACATGTAAAATATTACTTGAATCTTGAATCATTTTACTTTTCCTAAAATCGTAGTACATATTTCTCAAGTTTGATTTTATTGAAACATTTTGACTCATCTGGAGGCATGCAGCTTTAAGCAATTCACTTCACAGATTTAACCAGAACTAAACCTAATACACTGACAGAGCTGTAATATTTGTATACATTTAAACAATAACCCATTAATACCATGGATAAGAAAATAATGAATTTCCTCAAACCTAAAATCCATATTTGTTGAAGTTAACAAAATAAAGTATAAAAGCAAATCTACTGGAATAATAAAAACTTGGAAATTTAGTTTACAGGCGACTGAAAAGTCTTAATGTAAAAACTAATGTAGATCTATCAAACAAATATGTATATCCATACCTTAGGATGCTTGGCTACTTCTTTTGATCCTTGTGTCGCTCCTTTCACATTGACGGTCACTAACTCCTCCTTTAGCAGAGCTGTGTAACGTGGAACAACTGGATCTATTACCTATGTTAATATGAAAACTATGTGAGTAGGCAATGTTCAACATAAACATAAATGTTCCTAAATTAGTTAAGTAATATACATTTTATATAATATCTACATATAGGAGTTCAACTGAGGTTCAAAAGCTTATAAACATAAAACCTGATATTTTTACATAGATCAACTGGGGTACCTATAATGGTAAGAAGATTCAAATGAAAATTAAGACTTATACAAAGAGTTAAATTGAAAATGGAGTATTTTAGCCTGATTTGAGTGGAAAGCATTTATTGGTCAGTATGAGCAATTCGAATGATTGATTTTCAAAAACTCAGTGAGTGAATGATCTGAGATTTTGCGTATAAACCTACATCAAAATGGTGAAAAACTCATGAAAAAAATGCGCTCAATCCTGTCATGTCAAAAAACTTCAGTTGAGTCCCTTTAAGTAAACATTTTTTTAACTGTTTGGGCGTACGCAATGCAATCATACAGCGTTTATTAAGTAACTTAACAGATCGGGAAAAGTTAATTGGATTTACAATATTTATGCTTAATCATATTTATTATTGGAAATGCAAATATACCATACCTTTTTGTTAACAGACCATATTTTGTCCCATTCCATCATATTAACTGACTTGGACGAACCCTAAAGCAGAAAAGTAACTCAAAAGTTATCAAATACATGTGATTATTACAATATATATTGAAAAGTTAGTGAAATTAAAAATTTGGACAATATTAGCTAACCACCGATCTAGGAGTTATTTGAAAATTGAAAACAGGTTGGGTGATGTTTACGCTAGAGAAAGTTTTAGAAATTTCTGTCAATTCGCGAAATTCGCCAATATTTCTGTGCCACTAACTTAACCACTTATACAGTACACAAAGCCAGCCAGATTCCTATAAAACATATTATATATCAATCTAATACAAATTAATCAAACCTAGGTAGGCTCTGGATTATATTACGATGTTAATGCCACAAATAATGCTGTTTCCAGAGAAAGACACCGCCTTAAGAATATGTCTGCATATTTGGTCATATGGATTAAAACATAAACTTACCTGAGCAACTATAAACTGCTTTAACCCTTCTACAGTCATACCTCTCCTAAGCACACCTCTTACAGTTGGAAATCTTGGATCATCCCTGTAATAGTAAAAGTTCTAGTAATCATTACATATCGTCACCTTAGTGCAATAACTAGTTACCTCCTATTAAATTTACCTCATATTAAATTACTACACTAATGATGTGCATCATTTTTCGAATGCTTATTAGTTTAATATGATGGATAGCATATCCAAATAAACATAATTATAATTTTTTTCATCATCAATTTAAATTGCCTACTGAAATTTTATCATGAAGATTGTACACAACTATGATCCTTTTCATGAGTAATAAGTTTTTATTTTATGAACCACAAGCACTCCTTTTATTAGAGGTGTCACGGATAGAAGAAATGCTTACCGTTTAAACTGCAACCTTTTAATTTGTGTTAAACGTTTAACCAACTGTACTAATAAAATCCTTAGATTTTTAACAGTAACTTTGTTTCTTTATTACCACATATTTTGACAGTATTTTATAGTACTTGAAATAATTACTATACATATCCAAATATGGAGTAACTATTTTCTGTTAGGGTCGTACTGTACTTGAGCAGATTGGAAAAAATATATTGTTGAGTACAACAAAAATATATCTTGGTTTATGAATTTTCTAACTGATTTTAAGCTAAAAACCAACCGTACCTGTTTAAATGTGACACCCCTACTTTTTAATGTATGACTACATACTATGATGAAGTCCTAGAAACTTATGTTTGACATAAAAAAATACAAACAAAAGAATCCTCAACAATTGTGCAATTATTATTCGAACCATTTTCTCACTCCAATGTCATTTTTTTTTTATACAGAATGAATGATCTGGTAAAAGCAGTAGAAACATGAACAACCACTTACCATCCATCCACCTTGCCAGAATCAACAAACCAGGTCAGTTTCCTCTTTGACAGTACTGTATTTTGCAGATTCAATCTACTGTAAGAGTAGATATAAGGTTTTCTAAGTCCTGCAATATCAGAAAGTTTCTTTATCATATATATCAACCAATATTGAGGAAAAAATTATCTTTACTGGCAGCAACGTAAATCAGTGAAATAACAGAATTGTTAAATATGACTGTTATAAGTGAAAATAAATTTTGAGAATGATTTTGGACAAAATTAACAAAAATCTAAATTTTGACCACTAATATTAATATATATTGGTGCACTAAGTGGAAGTGGGCTTGATAAAGAGAATATTAGAATTAGACACTACCTAAGGCATCCAAGAACCACATGTATTGATGGTCTCTATCCAGATATTCAGTAGTCCTCATAGCATGGGTAACACCTTCAACACTGTCAACTATAGGACATGCAAAATCATAGGTGGGATAGGCCCTAATATAAAAAGAATAAAATCAAAATTGGTTACAAATACTTACAGTCAGGAAAATATAATCAAGGACTAACAGTATGACAATTTCATTGTTATTTTTAACATTATAATTTTTATTCAGCAAGATTTGAAGTTACATAAAACTGTGAAGGCTTCAACCTTTCTTGCTTAACTATATAAGAACTATCTTGGTTGTCTTTGCATATATTACCTCTGGTTGGATAGGGTATATGAATAGAACCACCAACCTCCTATAGAAAAGATGGATATCTCTTTAAATGGACAAAATCAGAATCCATGACAAGATTCAATCTAACAGTGATTAGGGGTATGCCATTTGAAGTCATTGCCACAAAGGCCACTCTCAAACAATATAAAACATGGGAAAGAGGCCTCTGTGGCTTACTTGTAGACTTCAAATCACTAGACCCTCAGCATTGTGGGTTCGAATCCTGTTGAAACTTGGAAACTATATCCAGCTAGCTTACAGATGGAAGTTGATACTACTCGGGTGCCTGAAATAATACACAAAGGGAAACCTGAAGTCTGCCTACACCCATTAATTTGGAAAGTTGCCATATGACCTTCACAGTGTCCACATGACATAAAACCAATCAAACACAAACTGTCAGATAATCTATCAAAAGGGTAAGTCCAATACTATTTAAACCGGTCAAGATTGAAAGTTTTGGGGGATGTCCATGGCTGAGTGGTTAAGGTTGTTAGCTTAAAACTATTGCTTCTCACAGCTGCTGTGGGTTCAAATCACACCAGGGACTTTGGATTCTTTTATGTGAGGAAGCTATCCAGCTAGCTTACGGAATGTTGGTGGGTCTTCTCAGGTACACTTTCATGTGTGAAAATACATGTATGCTCAGAAGGGCACCGGAGGTCTACATCCAACACTCAGGAGTCACAATATGACCTCGATTGGTACCCCATAAAATCCAACCAAAAATATGTTCCTAAACTATTATATCATGTAAAGAAACAATAGTTTCTCTCGTATACATGTATATGCATGATATTGGTATACTTACTTGTATTTAGTACCAGTGCGAACATGACTTTCATTTTTACACCTGTACATGGTTGGATCCCTCAAACAACCATTGTCCGATTTCATGTCTATCTTAGCCCTTACACAGCATGTCTGGCCCACAGTAGAACCTTTCTTCATCTCCTCCCACATTGACAAGTTCTTTTCTACACCTAAAATCATAAACATAGTGGTTACTTTTTACTATTATTAGTCTATTTGTATATTGTGTATGTATATGCCACCAATAGCTTTACTGCATAATTAAGAATGTTTTTGGATTTCCAAGCAAACACACAGGTACAAAGAATTTCTTAACAGTTCAAATTTACAATAAAAGACACAACATGTTGTCATACATCTAGGTAGGGACACTTGGCCATGCCTGACATCAAATATCTAAACATTCCACCTTGGGTTTCTACATAAATTTCTCCTGTGTATAATATCAATTTCAAGGGCAAATTTTGATTAAAAGAACATGATTTAAGCAAACTTTGTAGAAATCCACTTGCCAATTTTGAACATAAAATCAAGCTTTCTAGATTTTTGAATAAATTTAAGGCCAGCCTATATAAATTTAAGTGACTTCAAGAGGTGGCCAACTTTGATCCTGAGTCATGAATGGAATAAACTTTGTGAAATAAATTAATGTCAACAATGCAGTAGAGTTTGACAAATATAGATTGTCTTACTGTTATTTCTATTTTTTGAATCCACTCTCTCTTCTCGCTCCTTCTTCATTTTTTCTGGATCAGTGTCATCTACAAAAGCTTTACCATCTCTTATCATTTTTTCACATAGTTCCAGCAGACGGTCAAAGTGATCTGATGTGTGAGTAAATCGGTCATACTTGATACCCAACATGGCTACATCATCAAGGATTACCTATAGGTAATAATTATGTCTTTTACCAAATCATTAAAGAGCTTTGCACAAGATTTGAGAGTAGTTACCATTTGTGAACTAAGGAAAATTAAAATTTCTTTAACATTCAAAACTTAGTCCATACCCCTTGAATGTTGACTTTACTTTTTGTCGTTGAGTTGTTGTTAACGTTTTAGATCACACGACAACTGTTGAAGACTAATGGCTACTTTCTAGATTTTACTGGTGGAGGGAAACCTCTGTGTATTATTTCTCACACATGAGCATCTCTAAGTAGAACAACCAACCTTCTGTTAGCTAGCAAGATGGTTATCTTACATGAGAGAATCCAAGAACCGTGACAATGTTTGACACTACAGTAGTGAGGAGCAAGTCATTCAAGGTCAGAGAGTCAAGGAGATCCCCTTTTGAACTGTCTTTAACATTAAAGGTATACTTGGTGTAGATAAGTGCAATTATTCATATAATAAGTAAGAACCTATTAATGTTAAAGCTTTCGATTGTAAGTAACTATAATGTTAGGTCCATACAAAATGTATAGTGTCACATATCTGCATGCCTTGGCAGTCTCACAACACAGTATAATATTGGTTCCATAATTTTCGCATTTAAATATCACAATCCCTAAAATAAAGAATGGACTAACCAAAAGCGTAATAAGATTCCATTACATAAATTCATCATAATAAAGATTGAAAGTGTCACTGTACCTTCTCAAACTCTTCATTTTCTTTCGCTGGATTTGTATCATCAAACCTCATTATCAATGTACCCTTAAAGTTTTGTTGATAATACTGATTTAACAGGGCTGCTTTAGCATGACCAATGTGCAAATACCTACAACACAAAGCAAATTAACAATGAACACTTACAAAATTGAAGCCACTATTTAATTAACCTAATAGAAAAGCAGTAAGATGAGATTTTTAGGGCTATATTGCAAGTGTTGTAATTGGAAATAGCGAATATTGATGCACTATAATTCTCCAGGCCAAATCATTAAAATAAATAATATTGATTTATTTGATACTGTTACAAACCAGTAAAAGAAATTCAAGGGTAACTCTTAATATCCATCTATGCAGTATTTTACCTATTATTCTTTGACAGAGTCCAAGGATGCAGCCAATTTGTTTTAGGTTCCTTGCTTTCCTGGTATGATATTTGACATTTACTTCTAGACAATAACAATATCAAGGGGATTTGGGCCTAGTGGTTAATGTGTTTGCCTCTTGACCCAGGAATCATGGGTTTGAGCTCTACTCAGGTCACAATTAGGTTTCCTCATATGACACCAGTACTGGTTAGTTCTTCAAAGTGATTAATATAAGTTGCAAGAACATGTTTGCAAAATACTTATGTTTAAACAAACACTATCAAGAAAATACTATTTCTTCTGGTCTGTTGTATATCTAATTATTTTAACCACGTATACCCAACATTATGATACCAGGTTTTTTATCATTTTTATCCTTGTATATGTTATTAAAATTTGACACAATATGTTAATTTAAATTACTACACTTCGCTATATTAATACAAAATCCTCTGTCATTGACAGCCTTATTCATTGTAACTGTTGTCTAACTCAGCTCTTTCCCCCTATTTTTGGAACATGACCATAGAATTGGGACTAAAACCCTTAACCTGCTGGAACTGATAAATTATTGGCTTTGTCACCAATATAGACCCAGGTTAACTTCCATGTCAGGTTCTTTACTGGCGGTTGAATGTTTACGGGCCGGAAAGATACCTAAATTTATGTTTTATTAGAAACATAATATTGTGAAAGCATGTTTAATTTTTTATCCTGAAACCTCAAAAAATGATATAAACAGTTCTAACAACGCAAACTTAGCATGTCCACAGGTTAATGATTAATCTTTGTTAAAGGCACATTATGCGACAGCACCAAATAAATTTTTACTTATTTAGAAAGGCCAAACATTTATATTATAATGTTTAAATAATGGTTTTAGAGAATGTTTGATGCTTGCAATCTAAAGAAAGGAGCAATTATGTGAAATGTTTTTTCATAAAAGTAGCAAATGTAATAAAGTAGTATTTTAACTTCCATACAAAATACTTATTTCATATAACTGTACCTACTGCCAAAAAGCAACACATGAAAAAGCTGGTTTAGGTAAATGGCCAATGAATAACTATTTTGGATAAAATAAAAGTATACCAAAATTAAAAAGCTTTTTGAGAAATAAAAATTAAAGCATTTCTCAGGCATAATGTGCCTTTAAGTTCAAAACTGTGAATCCACATAATTATGGGGTGGTTGCAAAATGCACTTCATGTATGAAAGCTTTGTCTTCATCCTTAGAAACTTTGATACTTCATTTAGCAAAAAAAATAACAGTAGTTTTAAGATCTGAGAATCACATTCTTATTAGTCAACATACTGATTTAAGTCGGTCACCTGTAAATTTCATTTTGACATAATAATCAACTTAACTATAAACTTACCCACTGGCCTCTGGTGGGAACCTAACAACAACCTTTCCCATCTCAGCACCTGGTAGATCTATAAACTTGCCCACATCTTTTTTAACCTATAAACAAAAATATTTTGCAAGACAATAATTTTAAAAAAAATATGTTTACCAAATCAGTAATAACTTATAATATTGTTTAACCATATCAGTGATAATTTATATTGTTTAATCAAATCAGGAATAACTTATTATATTGTTTAACCAAATCAGCAATAACTTATTATATTGTTTAACTAAATCAGTAATAACTTAATATTGTTTAACCAAATCAGCAATAATAACTTATATTGTTTAATCAAATCAGTAATAACTTATAATATTGTTTAACCAAATCAGTAATAACTTATATTGTTTAACCAAATCAGCAATAATAATTTATATCGTTTAATCAAATCAGTAATAACTTACATTGTTTAACCAAATCAGTAAAAACTTATTAATATATTGTTTAACCAAATCATTAATATCTTATAATATTGTTTAATCAAATCAGGAATAAACAAGATATGTTTGTAAAACATGTATGCCCCCTATCAGCAGCCAATTAGTCATGTGATAAGGTTATTATGCATGACTTCTGACCCTGAGTGATCAAACAATTAATAAGGGTTATCAAGTATCTACTGGCCATGACCTTAACCTTTGACCCCTTGACCCAAAACTCAATAGGGGTCATCTGCTGGTCACGACCAATCATCATACAAAGTTTGAAGTTCCTAGGCCTAAGTGTTTTTAGTTAATTGATCAGAAACCGTTTTTACCGACAAGGTCAATGTGACCTTGACCTTTGACCCCTTGACCCCAAAATCAACAGGTCATCTGCTGGTCATGACCAATCACCATACCAAGTTTGAAATTCCTAGGCCTAAGGGTTCTTTAGTTATTGATCGGAAACTGTTTTAACATACAAGGTCAATGTGACCTTGACCTTTGACCCCAAAATCAATAGGGGTCATCTGCTGCTCATGACCAATCACCATGCCAAGTTTGAAGTTCCTAGGCCGAAGCGTTCTTTAGTTATTGATCGGAAACAGTTTTTACTTACAATGTCAATGTGACCTTGACCTTTGACCCCTTGATCCCAAAATCAATAGGGGTAATCTGCCGGTCATGACAAATCACCATACCAAGTTTAAAGTTCCTAGGCCTAAGCGTTCTTAAGTTATTGATTAGAAACTGTTTTTACTTACAAGGTCAATGTGACCTTGACCTTTGACCCCTTGACCCCAAAATCAATAGGGGTCATCTGCTGGTCACAACCAATCATCATACAAAGTTTGAAGTTCCCAGGCCTAAGCGTTTTTAGTTAATTGATCGGAAACCGTTTTTACCTACAAGGTCAATGTGACCTTGACCTTTGACCCCTTGACCCCAAAATCAATAGGGGTCATCTACTGATCATGACCAATCACCATATCAAGTTTGAAGTTCCTAGGCCTAAGGGTTCTTTCGTTATTGATCGGAAACCGTTTTACCTACAAGGTCAATGTGACCTTGACCTTTGATCCCTTAACCCCAAAATCAATAGGGGTCATCTGCTGGTCATAACCAATCACCATACCAAGTTTGAAGTTCCTAGGCCTAAGGGTTCTTTTGTTATTGATCAGAAACTGTTTTTACCCAAGAGGTCAATGTGGCCTTGACCTTTGACCCCTTGACCCCAAAATCAATAGGGGTTATCTACTGATCATGACCAATCACCATACCAAGTTTGAAGTTCCTAGGCCTTAAAGTTCTTTAGTTATTGATCGAAAACAGTTTTAACATACAAGGTCAATGTGACCTTGACCTTTGACCCCTTGACCCCAAAATCAATAGGGGTCATCTACTGATCATGACCAATCAACAAACCAAGTTTGAAGTTCCTAGGCCTTAAAGTTCTTTAGTTATTGATAGGAAACCGTTTTTGCTTACAAGGTCAATGTGACCTTGACCTTTGACCCCTTGACCCCAAAATCAGTAGGGGTCATCTACTGATCATGACCAATCACCATGCCAAGTTTGAAGTTCCTAGGCCTTAAGGTTCTTTAGTTATTGATCGGAAACTGTTTTTGCTTACAAGGTCAATGTGACCTTGACCTTTGACCCCTTGACCCCAAAATCAATAGGGGTCATCTACTGGTCATGACCAATCACCATACCAAGTTTGAAGTTCCTAGGCCTAAGGGTTCTTTAGTTATCACTCGGAAACCATTTGGTCTACGGACCGACGGACTGACAAGTGCAAAGCAATATACCCCCTTTTCTTCGAAATGGGGGCATAATTATTATATTGTTTAACCAAATAAGCAATAACTTATAATATTGTTTAACGAAATCAGTATTAACTTATAATATTGCTTAACCAAATCAGTAATAACTTATTACTTTGTTTTACCAAATCAGTATTAACTTATTAATATATTGTTTAACCAAATCAGTAATAACGTATTACCTTGTTTAACCAAATCAGTAATATCTTATAATATTGTTTAACCAAATCAGTAATTATTTATATCGTTTAATCGAATCAGTAATAACTTTTACTTACAGATGATTCCCCTCTCTTTTCTGGCGACGCTTTAGTCTCAGCCTTTGATATCTGTGCCTGAACAAGTTGAAATACTTCTTGGGCACACAGGAATTCATAGTACCTTTTAACATTGATAGGTGCTTTACCATTCTTCAATAATGTCTGCCAGGCTGTACTTGCTGGAAAAAAAAAGAAATTATTTTTATTTTTTGATGGGTTTAATGTCACACCAACACAGTACCGGTCATAATTATGGTGACTTTCCAGCTTTACTTGTGGATGAAGATCTCAGGTACTCCTCTGTATTTGTACATTATTTCAGGCACAAAATACCTTTGACAGAATACAACATACATCAAAATATAGCCGAAATTTCTGTCTAGCTCTGAAGCTCATTGTATAGATGAAACATGCTTTATTATGTAAAAGTTTATGTACAAGTTGACAATATAAAAGATATTAACTACTATTGATCAAGATTAACCCCTGAAATTTAGGAAACCCTCCTAAGCTTTTTACCACTATAGAGCCAGGTCAGCCTGCATATCTTGATACATGACCAACTACAAATTTTCATCCTGACATTACTAATACTGAAATGGACAGATCCAAAAATGGAATCTGGACAAGTCCATTTAAGAAATTCAGTAGGTTAAGTGTTAAGCTAATGATTAGTTTTCTTTACCATTATCTGCTCAACTGTTAACTCATATCAAGTTTGCCAAAATGTTTGTAACTGTATTATTATCATAATACAGTAGAACTTCTATGAGTCGAACTTCGATTAGTCGATTTTCTCGATGTGTCGAAGAAAAATGAAAGTCCCGACTTTTCCCCCTATATTTTCCTTATAAAAACCTATTGATGAGTCGAGATTTTATGTGTCGAATTTTTCGATGTGTCGAAGTTTTTTCGTGGTCCGTATAAAGTAAATCTAGTGCAATTTACCACAAATAAGTCGAAGTCGTTCAATCATTTTGACACCTTCGATCTCGAGACATTTTTCACACCTTATCTGGCTGCGAAGACGATTTCCAATCAACTTGTGTGACAGGTGTTGATTACACAGTCGTGTGTACAAACAGCCTTTGTTTGGGATAAAATGTGTGATAAAATACTTTAATCGTTTCTATTTTAATTGCCGTAGTGGTATTTGAAAGTAAACAGTAAGAACTACTTTCATTTGAAAACATCCTTGACCCGGTGTCGCGTGAGAATAACAAGCGAAATATTTACTATAAGCCGGTTTAGTTATCGCCCTTTCGTATTGTTACGCCTTTTGTAACTCTGTTGTATACGTCAACGGGTAGTCCAAATAATTAGCCGGGAAAACATTATTTAACATGCTACATTTATCATTGTAAGATGTAAATATCAGATTAATGATGGAAAAACATGAAAATGGTTTCGTTATACATCTTATAATTAGGACTAGTCACGGGTCGAAATTTTGTCATGGAATTGAGAGCGATTCATGAGTCGAAGTCCCGATGTGTCGAAGTTTTTACGCAAGTCCCTTCAACTTCGACTTACCGAAGTTCTACTGTATATTTTAAAATAAAAAATATTTACAATCCATGTACACTTAATAAAAGAAACATCTTACAATACAGGTTTTCCCAAATGGCAAAGTCAGCAGCTGTTATGGTAGGTCCCACTAAGTAGGTAATGGGTCCAATCACACTGTCCAGGTATTGTAAAGCTGAGTTAAAACTTGAACTGCAAGCCAGCTGACCCCAAGCAAAACTGAACCAATGGTCAACCTGCAATAAATAGAATATTTTCATTAATCGGTCAGAGATCACTAAAACTACAAAAGCAATTATTAAATTTTTAAGTATACAATCATGTTTGTATAAAGTAAATAATGAAGATGAAATAATGTCACCTGACTAGAAATTATGAATTGAATGTCCATTCTGAGGTCTAAACATAAGATCAAGGGGAGTGGTGGCCTAGTGGTTAAAGTGTCTGCCTCTCAACCCAGGGATCGTGGGTTTGAGCCCTTATCTGGTCACAACCATGTTTTTTCATATGACACCAGAACTCTTTGGTTCCAGGTAGTGGAATCAAAAGTGATTTATATTAGTCGCAAGAACTTGTTTCGCGAATCGCACAACCAATCGAAACTGGTCAGATAAGCCAGTCTAAGTTAGTCACAGTAAAACATGAGAGTTTGGAATAACTCACAATGATTTTTTGATATAGAATTGAAACCAAAATGCAGTATGGGCCTTTTTTAAATTGTCAAAAAATAGTGAAAATTCCCAAAAATTTAATTATGAAAAGTCCGAAAAAGTGAGAGGAGATTTTCCCCAACCATCTTAACTTTTTAAAACTACATTGTATATGACTTTTTATCAGTACTATTTCATTTGTATTCAAATTACCTCTGTTCTCTCTAATACAGATTCTCCAAGTAATTTGCCCTCTGGGTAGAGTCGTCCAAGGTACCGACACATGGAGGCAGTGCTCACAAACATACTTGACCTTTGAAAAAATTAATGAATTTTCAATTATTTCAGTTAAATAAATCCTTCACACAATGAACTATTTTGTCATCAGTAATTGATACAAACAAAAAAAACACGTTTATATCTAGACATACATGTATCCTTATGGCTATACAAAATTTTAGAACAAAAAAAACTCTCTACTAACTTTATTTAATTGCTTGGAACATTAATGTATTGCTTTCATTGGCCTACATTAAATAGCAGCACTGAAAAGTTAAATTGATCAAGCAAGTTTAACAAAGAACCTACAAACATCAATCAAAATGTGTTACTTTACCCAAAGGTACTCACCCATTTAAACTAAGATCATTCGACTTGCCAAACTGCCATGTGACATCTGACTTCTTCAGGTATTCCGCACACAGCAAAGCAGCTGTCAATATAAAGATGTTAACAAGTCAAATATAAATATTGCTGAAGTCGATGGATGCTCCCTAAACCTGCACATTTGTCCATGTTTTCAATGCACATTAGTAAATAATTGGCTGTATGAGCACATACAATGTATCTGTATGAGCACATACAATGTATCTATTTTTAGCATCAGTGATCTTCACTCAAGTTATACCAAACTCAATCCAAAACTAGAGGACAATCTATAGATATCTGCCTACTAAATATGAAAGATATCAGTCAATAAATAAAAGTAACATTAGCAAAACTATAATAATCTTTTTCTATCTGTTCTGTAACTATAACCACTTCCTCGTCACCAAAAGTTATACAATGTACTTCCAATTTAGATATTTATTTACATGATAAAATGGACATCAGTCAATAAATAATGGCAGTAAACACAAATAATAAAAAAATTTTTTTTAGCCATCGTAACCATGACCTTGGAGACAGAGTGTCAAATAATTTCACCCAAAGTTAGAGGTCCAACTAAAGTATCTACATACAAAATAATTATGAACGACATAAGTAAGTAAAATAAATTATTTTAAGCTGCAGTGACCTTGACCCAAGTGACCAAATAATTAGACTACCCAAGGTATGTCTCTACTAAATGTGAAAGACATCAGTCAATGAATAAAAATTATAAATCAAAACTAAAAGTGCAACAAATATTATCATTTTAAATAGACAATGAAGGTAGCACTATAGATTTTGTACAACACTCTCTCAGCTTCTCAAAAATTGATCTTTTTTGCCACATATTTTTTTCAATACCAAGTCCACCTTATAATTTATTATTAATGTTCTTTAATAAAATTATACCAAATCCTATTTATAAAATTCCTTCACTGTACATATGTATGTATTTATTTATTTTTATTTATTCTATCCAGGCATCGAAAAATATTTTCAGTCACTCAAGTAGCTACAAAATGAAATAATCTAATGTGCAAGCACATTTTCCTACTCATCCTGTATCAAATTCTCTTAAATTTTACTAGTTATTACAAGCAGATGAGTGGGTATTATCCTTTATGCTCTACACCTAAACTTCAACTGCCTTCACTTTCCCCAAAAATGAAAGTCTGTATGCCCAACATTCTATGAGCATTACCATGGGGTTGCAGTATAATTATCAATAATCATTACATAAGGTTTAAAAGTTAAAAATATCATTGCTATGACCTGTGATGAAGTTGAAAAATATTCAACTTTATCAAATACTAGTATCTTTACATAATACTTAACTTTATATAATCTGCTTATTTTTCTAGATTTTTAAACTTATTTTAATTTCTTAATCCATGAACTTAGATGTGCTTATGCTTATTTTTTTATACATGTCTATCTTTAGCTAATCTATAATTCTTTTACAGAAAATTATGTGCATTTATCACTGTTTAAGTATATCTTTTTTTTGTATTATCTTACTTGTATTGAGCTTGAAAAGCTGGCCCGAAGGACCTGCTCAAAGCGAGCTTTACATTAACGCGAGTACCTTCTAGATAGTGAGCAAACAGGACGTTTCGGCCCCAAACCAAATCGGCCCCAGTCGAAAAATCGGCCCCTTGACGTTTCGGCCCTTTTCCGCGAGACGTTTCGGCCCCACTATAGTGTATTGCTTGATTGATTAACAACAATTAATTTAATTACAATTAAACAATTATGACACTTTAATTCTTTGAATAATTATTTATTATCTTTTGATCTCTTGAACCATTTAGATATACGTTAATGTTTTTAAAGGTGTTACAAACAATAAAGGCTGGTTACTTACTTATAAAACAAACCACTAAAACTTCTTGATTACAGGGCTCATCCGGAAGGGCGATTCAGGCGAAAACTTCGCCGTGTATATTCCAATTTCGCTCTTCCGATTGATCAAAGAGAAGTCAACATCGCCGATAAAATCTTAATTCCCAAATAGTAATTACTTAGCGATGTAAAGAGCAGAGATTGTATCCGCCCATATGACGACCGCTAATTATCATTATCCAATCAGAGCGTCGCTTTATACTACCCTTTCTACCTGTAAGCGAAGCGATAGACCGCCTACTCTAAACAGTAAATAATGAGAGCATCGGCCCGAAACGGTTATAATTGTGTGATAGTTTTGCGAGTTTAATACGGGATTGGCGATAATTATAAATTGTTTTTTCCCCAATTATCTAAAACACGTGCAATCTTCCCTATATATATATATACACGATGCACTTCGATGGTGGGTTTTTAACCAGAGTAAAGGCGATGTGCAATGGATTTTTCACGGCTATCACAAAACTGTTAGTCAATTAAAAATAATCAATTTCATTAATGATCAGCGACCAGATTAAAAACTTAATCATAGTTTTGAATGATTTCAGTCTGTTAACATCAATTTTTACTGTAAAATTGTTATGTCGCTCACGTCATGGCTACAAGGCGAAATGCCGAAACCGAGCAGTAAGAAAGTTACTGATTCTGATAGTTACACCTACGCGAAAATTTAAGAAAGCCAATTAGCAAAAATCTTGCGATTGGTATGTTGTAGACAGTTGGGGTGTTTGGCATTGTTCTCTTTGTAGAAATGCCAAATTTGACACAGTTTACGCATGTGGGGATGTGCATGTGGGCAAGACATCCCGGCTTAACTACATATCGGTCGTATATCATGTAACGTGTATATAACAACAACATTTGTCTGGAAAGAAGTGTTCTTATTGTTTCAAAATAAATTCGTAAATATGACGCTCAGATTAAGATTTATCAATATTGTAAATTTTGAAAAGCATTATTTATACAGTATTATTAAGATATTACCGAATTTAACATTTCGTGAAAATAAAGGGAGGTAATTAGAAATTAATTTTCTACAATTTTTCAGTCAAATTTTTCAATAAGAAATGAATGTATGTAATTTTAGTGATCAAATATAATGTGCACAAATGTTTGCAGTACATATTTTACATATTCTTTGATGTTTGAAAATTGTTTTATAAGCATAATTATATGCATATAAATGTGACATTACAACATTCAGGACTTTGAGAGAAATTTCTGTTACCAGAACAGATATTATTAATCAATATCCAATGTGACTTCATCTTCTTTAAAAGGTGAGGAAAGTAAAGTAAAAAATATGAAATTGATTTTATCATCATTTCTTTTCTTACACATTATTATCAACAAATGTACATGAAAATATATAAACACATATTTAGAGAAAGCTTATAAATAGCTGATCAATAGATATCAAAAATAATTTTTTATATTCATATTTGCAGCTCAAAAACATTTAGATGCCATTGCCTGATCTACTACTAAATAATTAATCTACTTTTAATTAATACTAATATTAATTAATCTACTAATAAACTGGAGAAATATTATAAGTGATGTTAATTGTGTTTATATTATAATTAAAGGATGTATAGCCATGCATGTTAATGCATACACATTGGGTTGTTTCCCTTCTCCCTAATTTTCGCAAGGTCGTCACTTCTCCCTAAAATTTTCCCCCAGGATGAGCCCTGGATTAAGAAAGTTACTTACAATTTTTCCTTAGAAAACATTATCTTTTGATCTTAATTAAACTATACGTAATTTCTTCAAAGTGTAACTAATTAACTGTTTATACTTTATGCTTATTGGCAGTATTGTTTTGTGTCTTGCTTCTTAATCTTTTAAATACAATATCATCTATATATGGTTTATATTTTTTTTTTGTGTTTGTATTAAATTTTTACAAATAAAGTTTATGTTCTGTTCTGTTTGTATTGATTAATTTCCCCCTACTACTATAATAATCTAGTTTTTATACTAAATGATTAAATATATATATTAATTGATTAATTTTTTTATTGAAATGCTATTAATATATCGGTTTAGAATACATTACTTATTCTGGGGCCGATTTGGTAAAGGGCCGAAACGTCTGGGGCCGAAACGTCTCGGGTAGTTTGGGGCCGATACGTCTTGGGGCCGAAACGTCTCGAAATCGATAGTGATGGTTTTGAAAACTTTCATCTAAAGTACTGAATTGACACATCACAACTTTTTGAATTACAAGATAACAATAAAAACTGTATTCTGATTGAAAACTGAAGCGTAGACTGGTGTCCTGCGCACTTTTATGGAACTATAATAGGACAGGGAACCAGAATAAACAAAAGCAGTGTATAAAATACCAAATAACAATTTTAGAACGGAAAATGTAAAATAAAAATGAAGGATTATTTTTCACAGTAAAAGTAAATTGAGCTCGCTTTGATGCTTTGCCTTAATCATATTTATCTTTGTAACTTTTAACATGCTATAACATCTTTAATTCATGTACTTAGATGTACTTATGCTTAGATTCTATATTTAAATGTGCTTATGAAAAAATATTTAGTTGTTTTACTTTTGTTAATACATTTACACGTTTGTCAGAAAATAGCTCATGAGCTAGTATCCAACATAAAATAAATTGTCTTGTATCTTATACATGTTAAGCATATTTCAAATACATGTTTATGTCATAATCAGATTATAATGTCCGAAATTAGGGGTATCCGAAACTTACTATAGTCAACACACGTGGAATTTAAAGACATAGACACAATGAAATTTCATACCGATTGCTGCCTTATCCTTACAAATTGTCAGTTGTACTGCCATTACCGAAGCTTTATGGTAAGACTCAAAATGAATTATAGACTTAATGGAAGTTTTATTATTTCTGAGTTTTTCATCAGCCGGGGGTGCATAGAAAAACCGGAAAGCACCGGATAGCACCGAAATACCGGAAAGCACTCAAATTTCTCATAAAAACATATGAAAGCTTTATTTTATCGGTTTGAAAGTGCTACCAATCGATTAATTAGATCAAAATCTGACAGACAAGTCATTTTTATAAATATTTATTGATATTTATTACGAGTATTAGGAAAATAGATATATCGATTGCTTTCCGGTCTTGCTAAGATACATGTTTCTTGCATAGCAGACTGGCGTTTCCGTGAGTTTTACCCATGCCGGAAATTTCATCTGGCATGGGGGGTGCCAGATGAGTCGCGTGCCATACAAAACAACGTCCATTTTAGCGCCATTTATGAATGAAACCGCCGTTAAAATGAACGTCGTTTTTAGAAAGGGATATATGTGCTTAGGATTGACGGTCATTTCGCCGTTGTTTATTTAAGTTGTAAGTTCATACGCTATTGTAAAAGAAAATAGTTATGGATGAAATGACTTTAATTTCCCCATGAACATATATCATATTGAGGTAAACCATTTTAAAATATGAAATAATATGGCAGAATAAATATGCAAGAAAAAATATCTTTCATGATGTTTTGCGGTTCGGATCGGAATATTTCCGTCCCTCGGGAACCCGCCCATGGGCGGTAACTCACGGCAAGCCCTGCGTTTTACCGCCCAATGGGCGGGTCCCTCGGGACGGATATTCCGGTCCGAACCGCAAAACATATGAACAGATATTATTAACATTTTACCGAATAGCAATATTTGTTTGTCCAAAGTTATACATGAAACCCATTATTTTATTGTTTGAAAGTGTTTACCAATCGATTTTATTTATCCAAAATTCTTTCAGACAACATGTTTTTATAATTAATAATATGATTATTATTACGAATTATTTAAAAAAAATAGATATATATGAGTTTTCCGGGGTCCTGCTAAGATACATGTACATTACCGAAAAGCAATAATTGTTTATCAAAGTTTACATGAAAACATTATGTTATTGGTTTGAAAGTGTTTTCAATCGATTTATTAGGTCACAATCTTTCAGACAACATGTTTTTATAATTATAATATGATTATTATTACGATTATTTAAGAAAATAGATATATATCGAGTGCTTTCCGGTCCTGCTAAGATACATGTACATTACCGAATAGCAATATTGTTTATCAAAGTTATACATGAAAACATTATGTTATTGGCTTGAAAGTGTTTTCAATCGATTTATTAGGTCAAAATCTTTCAGACAACATGTTTTTTATAATTATAAATGATTATTATTACGATTATTTAAGAAAATAGATATATCGATGCTTTCCCGGTCCTGCTAAGGTACATGTATTTACCGGAATAGCAATATAGTTTATCAAAGTAATACATGAAAACTTTTATTTTTTTTAGTTTGAAAGTGTTTCAATCGATTTATTAGGTCCAAAATCTTTTCAGACAAATGTTTTTATAATTATAATATATTATTATTACGATTATTTAAAAAAATAGATTATATCGAGTGCTTTCCGGTCCTGCTAAGATACATGTACATTACCGAATAGCAATATTGTTTATCAAAGTAATACATGAAAAACTTTATTTTATTGGGTTTGAAAGTGTTACAAATCGATTTATTAGATCAAAAATCTTTCAGAGCAACATGTTTTTATAATATATATTGATAATTATTACGAGTATTTAGGAATATAGAAAATATC